CACCTCCTTGCCCCTCTACTCACAGACATCATAACCCTCTCCCTTTCCACTGGCAACAAGACAACAACAAGATTCCATTTATAGAGCGTCTTTCACGTCGGGAGGACGTCCCAAGGCGCTGTACAGTTGGGTCAGGACCCGAGCAAGGGGGAAATGGTCAGTGTGAGGCGAGGGAAGGGAGGGAGGGAGCGAGGAGGGGGTAGAGAGTCGAGAGGGGAGCTGAAGGCACGGTCAAAGAGAAAGGTCTTGAGACCAGCCTTGAAGGAGGAAAGGGAGGAAGCGGCGAAGGCACTGGGGAATGGAGTTCCAGAGCCTCGGGGCTGAGAGGCTGAAGGCCCGGCCACCGATGGTAGGGCGGTTGGGGCGGGGGATGTGGAGCAGACCGGAGCCAGAGGAACGGAGGGTACGGGCAGGTAGGTAGGGAGATAGTAGGTTGGAGAGGTAGGAGGTAGCGAGGCCGTGAATGACCTTGTAGGTGAGGATGAGGATCTTGAATTTGATCCTTTGGGGGATGGGGAGCCAGTGGAGGCGAGCGAGGGTGGGAGTGATGTGGTCCCGAAGCCTGGTGCGGGACAGTACACGAGCTGCAGAGTTCTGAGTGACCTGCAGTGTGGAGGGAGGTGCCGGGAAGGCCGGCGAGGAGAGAGTTCCCATAGTCCAGCCTTGAGGTGATAAAGGCGCGGACCAGAGTTTCAGCAGCGTGAGGGGTGAGGTAGTGCCATAGTCTTGCGATATTCCGGAGGTGATGGAAGGCAGTGCCAGTTGTGGCGCGGATATGAGGGAGAAAGGACAGCTCAGGGTCGAACAGAACCCCGAGGTTCCTGACTGGCTTTGAGAGGGCACCGTTCCCACCTCTTTAAAAATAGCCGTCATCACACCTATCCTTAAAAATTCCACTGTGGACCCATCCCTGGTCTCAAACTACCCCATCTCCAACCTCCCTTTCCTTTCCAAGGTCCGGGAACAAGTCATTGCTTCCCAGCTTTGCTCCTTGCTCTCCCGCCCCTCCCTTCACAAACCACTCCAATCGGGTTTCCATGCCGCCCACAGCACAGAAATTCAGCTTTGTTCAAAGTTTTGTCCATCTGCAACCAGGACTCTGTCTGCCTCCTTGACCTCTGTTGCCTTCGATATCATCAACCACTCAATCCTCCTCTACCACCTCTCCTCTCACCTCAATCTTCATGGTTCTGTACTTGAATGATTCAGATCCTACCTCTCACACCGTCTCTACTTCATCTCCACAAACAGTTTCTCCTCTAGCCCCCGCACTGTCTCGTGCAGCATTCCTCAGGGCTGTTCGTGGTCCCCTCCTCTTCAATATCTATATGCTCCATCTTGGTGACATCATCTGCAGACATGGGGTCAACTTCCTCATGTATGTGAATGATACCCAACTGCACCTCTTTGCCTCCACCCTAGACTCCAGGACCACTGCTGTGCTGACAGAATGTCTGTCGGACATCAAGTCCTAGATGAGAGCTAACTTTCTTCAGTTGAACATCAACAAACTGAGGCTCTCCTGATTGGCTCCCGTCAGCACCTCCACACCTCAGGTGCTGACAACATCACCATCCAAGGTTGCACACTCCACCTCACTAAGCCAGTCCCGAACCTTGGCATCTTGTTTTACCCTCAACCATCGTTTCTACCTCCTCCCTCCGCTCAGCGGGCTCCAGCCTGCTTTATATCCCTGCCTCACTCGCCCCACCATTGGCGGGTGGGCCTTCAGCCACTCTGCTCCCATCCTCTGAAACTCCATCCCACAGTCCCTCCACCTCTCCCCCTCCCTTGCCTCCTTCAAGACCCATCTCAAGACCCTCCTCTTCGACCGTGCCTTCGATCACCCTCCTTCCCCCCACTGCCCTCCACCCTTCCCGATCCCAACCCCCAGCACAGGTCCAAAACACTGATTGTCCAGCTCCTTGGGATATCTCCCCAAAGTGAAAGGCACTATACAAATGTAATTTTGTTGTTGTACAATGCAGAGAAGCACTGAAACAAAAGAGGTCATTGTTCAACAGGTAGTCAAGCTCAGCTCCTGTGGATATTGAGGAAAGTTCTAAGCTTCACTTAAGAAAAAGACAAATCAGGTTTGGGGTACAACATTAAAGAGTGCAATTCAAACAAACATGTGAACTACTAACAATCCTTGCATTTGATGCAGCCCCTTATCACATTATTGAGATGTCTCAAAGTGCTTCACAGAATATATGGTAAAATTAATTGACTGTATATTTTGTGAGCAAAACATGCACGAACAGGAAGAAATCCCACCAGTGTCTAGGTTTTCTCTGCATGGTTATGTAGTGTTTCAGAATGAGCATGTCAAATTTGGTAAACGTTTAAATACAATCTTAATTTTTATGCCGGTTTTATGTAAGTTTCATTCAAGAACTGCAGAAAAATAGGATTTCAAAGCTAAGATTGACTGAATTAAGCAATTTGCCAAATTCTGGACGCTTGTTCTGAAATGCTACATAAGTGTAAACCAAAACCCAATTTCTCCCTTTAGCTTTTGCTTTATATTTGGGGACTTGCCATTAGGCACACACTGAATGTAGCCAGGAACGTGGCCTCAGGGGAAGGTTGGACAGCAAAAACAATTAAGATATTATTTATCTACCTCAATTTTATTATTTGTGCGTTTCACCCACAAAATACAGTCAATCCACTTTTGCAGTATATACTGTGAAGTGCTTTAAGACGTCTCAATAACGGGATAGGCGCTATATTAAATGCAAGGATTATCATTATTATTATTAAGATCAAGGGTGTCCAGCACTGCAGGAAGCCACAGATACTGAATGCGAGGTGTATCAAGTTTATTGGCATACATATAAACACAATTAACAGGCTGTGTAACAAAACACAAAAGTATCAATTGAATCTGACACCTTCCAAGTCTGAAATGGTATAATTATTCCCTACTTCTACTTTGCTGTCACCACTCACCTGCTGTGTAGCCACTTACCTGCTGTTGCTCACCTGTCGCCACTCATCTGCTCTGTTGATATACACCTGTAGCCATACGATGCCGTGCTGCTCAGTTCCTCAAGTAGTAACCCAATTGTTGACATTACAGCTAATCTTCATACATCTCAGCAGCAGTAGTTTTCACAAAGACTGTCTCCATCCATCAGTGCGTCTGCGACGTTACAGGAATACTCTAAAAATCAGGTGTCAGCTTGGTTCAGTCAGTCACACAATCACTTCAAGATCAGAACGTTGTCTGTTCAAGCTCCACGTTTGGACTTTGATGTCACAGTCTAGGTTGGCAATCCAGTAAAGGAGGAACACTGCATTGATGTCGTTCTTCAGATGAGACATTAAGCTGAGGTCCTGTCTGCTTGTTCAGGTGGACGTTGAAGATCCCATGAAGCTAGGGAATTTCTCCCAGTGTTCTGGTCAACAATGTTCCAGATAAATTGGTCATGGATTTATGGCTGCTGTGTTTGCCCACAAATTCCCAGTCACTACACTTAATGGCCTGTGAAGTGCATTGAGATGGTTTGATATAGGCTTTGACCATCAACTGTCTGCAGGCTCCATTTGGGAAGGGATTAATGAATTAGCCAACACTTGTGGTGCACAAGTGGTGCAGAAATCCATAGCTGTAGCCCCAGTGACTTTATAGAGCCACATCACTAGCACGCAGACAAGAGTGCGGGTGGATTCCACAGAGGTGGATTCCACAGAGACAACCACATGGAACATGGAAAGATCTACAATAGAAACAGCAATAGGAAGTGTATGCAAGTCAATAAGTGTGTGTGCTTACCCAAACAGATGGTATGGAAACTGGTATTAACTAGGAAAGTGATGTAAAGGTGAGTGTGGGGGGGATTCGTTGAGCAGAAAGAGACAAGGGCAAAGTGGCTGAAAGCATGGGCACTGATAGTGGAATGGAGGATGTGAGGTACAAGCAGCAGAGCAGAGTACACGACTATAGCAAAGGAACAAGATTGGAGAAGATATCAGAGATTGGATGAGGCAAAACAGTGAAGCGATTTGAAGATTAGAGTGAGGATATTGAAGTCAAACTGCTGGCTATTGGGACACAGTGGAGATTTTTAGTCCCAATCACCTGGGTCAGAGTTCAGTATACAGAGATGTACTGAAATGAAATATCAGAGAAACAATACGAAACATTGAGATGTATACTGAGTGGTACACACCTGGAACAGTTACACCACAGAATATAGTGGTGAACACAGACAGCATGGGCTAATGATTAGTTACTCGCTCAGTAGACAGATTCAGTGAATGAAGGACATGGCATTGTGCAGGTCTCACAGGACAGGTACCCAGGAATAGGACAGGTTGACCTGCCACAAGAAGAAAAGTCTAAATGACTGAAGCAAGTGCCCAGGAAATTGATTCACTGGGCACAGAGAGGAACAACGGGGACTGGACAATATCAATAACATGCAATAGGGTGAATGTCATACTGGAACTTTGAATACTGTAGGTAGGTAAGGAATAACAATATTGACCGGAGTGTGAAAGAGTGTCAAACACTGGTGGGTGATATACAACAAAACAATATCTTGAGAACCAACTGTCTGGAGAATGTACTGTCTCAGTCTAGTTACAAGTGGAACACTGTGCAGTCAGATACATGAACCAAACAGTGTAATATAGAGCTCATACTGTCGGGACACACTGTAAAGCCCAGCTCACATTGTCAGGGACACACTATAATAAAGATTGCACTGAAGGTAAAATGCACAGATGTGTCCTGATCGACAAATTAACAGTACAGACCAGAGCCTGGTAGGGGACACAATATATCGCGTCGCAGTGCAATACAAATGGGAGGAAAGAATGCACATAAAATAAATACTGTGTTCATCGTACTCACCACATCTGAATTGAACAGTTTTCCTTTGGATGAAATCAGCAAGAGTTGGGTAGCAGACTCCTGCAGGCATCTGTCTTGAATAAGAGTTCAGGACCGGCCAGAATCCCTCAATACAGTGTATATGGGAGAAGTCCGATAGACAAACAGCACTTTATTTATTCAAACTTCACATATAAAAAGGGGTGGTTGCACCGCACTCACATGGAGGGGGTATCTGTGCAGCCCCACACACAGAACACTCGGTACAGATCAAGGCAATACAAAATGATTGGAACTGAATAATTATAGGAAGTCAAGTCAGTTATTAGGTACATGATCAACAGAATAAAAACACCATCTTCCTGCTAATTAGTGTCCGTGACTACTTTGCTTTCGAGAGCACTAACTCAAGAGCAGTTGTTTACTGTCCTGGATGAGTTTCTCTGGTAATGTATCCAGTCAGGATGGTAAAAGGCATTTAGTATAGCAGTGAGACCTCAGGACAGCAATGAGACACTCGGTCCTATCTGTACCTCGTTAGGTGGAAAAGAATTAAATTGAATGTCAGAGTTTTCTTCCGCTGTGTGCCACGGGTGTAGATGTTTCTCTGGCAGATACGGTCCTGTCAGCAACTCTCTTCCTTGAGTCTGAGGGTAAGAGGGAAAAGTTGGGAGACCCTTGAATAATGTCAGTCCAGATGACACAAGTTTTCAAAATTGCCATTTATTTATTTTCCCTAAGAATTTCAGATCAATTTTTTTTGGCGCTTTTTTTTTCCTTCCAAAATAAATACAAACTGAAAAAATACATTCTAGAAATTAAGGAAAGGTAACATTTCGACATTTCCCCCTCCCTTTCCCTTGCCTCCTCCCCCCCACCCCCACCCGATCTGAGTACAGCATTTCTACCCAGAGTATGGAAGTATTTACAGTCTCTTTATTAAATGGTTTAAAATGGTGTTGCTGCTATCGCTCTCTCATACAACACACACACACACACACAGACACAAGCATTCCACTTGCTAAGAATTTAACTGCAACAGTTACTAAAAAGTCTCATGATGTTTGTTAATGTACTGAAAATTATAATGCTTTGCTGTAATGTCTATTCATGTCATCAGGGTGCTTACAAACCCCCCCAAAATAATTTAAAAATCGTTAACATCACAATGTACATTATTTACAATGGATCTGCCCAGAGCAGAACACTTAGCCGCTAATGTGGACCCAGTATTTTAGCTGTAATACAGAGGAGAACTTCCTTCATTGTCCCACTGTTTGGGGTCCTCATTTCCCACATTAGCTACTGGTTTTAGTGCCTGTATATTATAGATCCAAATTCTTCATAGCTATGGCCTCAAGCCCATATCTCAACGATTAATATTGTGCAGAATTTCCAGCTTCACAAATTAAGACAGATTTTAAGATTTTTCCTAATCTTAAATTTAGAGTCTGAAGACCAGTTAGCTCCCCACCCAGAACTGGTAGAGAAATACTGTATGAAAAAACAAATGTTTAATTATAATTGGAAGAGAGGGAGGGAACCTGACAATGCTGTGTTTTTAGGCCTGATGTAGATGGAATGAGGGATGACAGTTTAGTTGGAAGAGCAGATTCTGTCAAAATAAGGTAGGAATTGGGACCGGTTGTGTGTGAACGGGGGAAAAGAACGATTGTGTGTATATATGGCTTACGATTGTGTAATGAATGATAAGATCAGTAACTCTATGTGACCATGATGATAGGCTTAATGCCAGGCACGAGGGACCAAAAAGCATAGAAACTAGGGTTTGGGGAAAAGGTGGGTAAATGGGACAGAAATAGATTGTTCTATCAAAGAGCCAGAACAGTCATGATGAGCAGAATAAGCCCACTAAAAGGGATTTTTAATATCTTCTCTCTAAGAGTAGACCCCCAAGTGAGCCCTCTTGAAGAGTGAATGATGGGAATATGATTATTCCTGATCCCAGGTGTTAATCCAAGTGCATTAACATCATTAATCATTTCAATCGTGGGGGAGACTAAATGGTTTACTGCAATTAATGGAGTGGGACCAGGACTGGAAGTGATGACCATTCACTATACAGGCAATGTCTGGCTTCATCAGACAATTCACCTGAGCAGCTTTTTAAGGTAGCAAGCAGGGCTATTTACAGATAAACAAAGATGAGAGGGAGGAGAGAAATGGGAAAATATTTTTAATGTGCAGCAGTGGGAAGGGATTCTTCACGTATAAGGGATAATAACCGGAAGTCCCATATTTCACAAATGATCCCAAGCTTTCAGACACACAGCTTCCTAACAGGGGAAAATCTCACACTGTTGATTTCTGTTCCCAGCCAGTCCAGCACCAGAATCCACATTTGCCAGATCCACAAAGCAGGAATGCCTCATAACTGAATCTCTACGTAGTCAAGATTTACAAAGACACAAACGTCATGAGTACAATGCCCTACGAAATGGGCCAGTGCAGGTTGTTCTGTGTGGAATCAGCTGTGCGCTCTAACAAAAGGTAAGATTTTGACAGGCTTTTGGGGAACTGCAAAATTAAGTTGTGTTTAGCTACGACTTTGACCTGCTTTAAGAATCAGGGGAACAAAGAGATGGACACGAAAATACAGACATGTAAGACTGTATTCTGCTATCTGGTCTGTGAAGTACACAAAAGCAGAAAACCAAGAATCTTGCCCAGCCCGTGAATATCCACTTCATTTAACCAAGTCACCAACTTCTGGAGTTAACCTTTCCAACCTAAGCAGAGTTATCCTACTCACTGAGGCTTAGACATAGCACCCTGACCATTATCATCATATCCTGAGAGAGCTCCATTGCTGCATAATCTCTGACTGATCAATCACTCTCACAGATAAAACCACTTCCAAAAAACAATTTAGAAAGTTACATTACGTCACTAAAACAATCTAACAAATATTTATTTGAAAGGGGAGAATTTATTCATTATCAGTAAGTTCTAGGATGAGGTTATTTTGTTGAAGTTCTGAAGGATACACTTCTGCTGCTGAACAGGATTAGTGTGTAAGTGTGAGAGTGTATCTGTGTGTGACAGGCAATTGGCAGTTAAGCTGGTGTGTGCTTCAGAAAGACTAGTATGAGCATCTGTAAAATGAGAGATAAATGGGTGACGAGTAGTCAGGGGAACTAAATATATGTACTGCTAGAAGTTATTTTTGTCTTCCCAGCTAAATAAACCCTGGCAAAGCAAAAAATAACAAATAATTTAAAATCCATATTGAAAGCAAAATGGCAGTGCACAGATCATCACTGAACGGGTACGTTTAGGAACGCTGCAAGTTTTATCCCACAGTTTTAAACCGATTTGTGTTATTTAGCAGTAAGGTTAGAATCTGAGAATGAATGGGGTTAGGTACTAAATGTTCACTATTTTACTTTCCTTTCACTCCACATGGTGACTGTGAATGTTTTCTCACTTTAACGCTCTGATAAAAATCTCTCTGTTCTTGGCTTTGGGCTCCTGGGTTGGTGACTATATTTGCTGCTGTTAGAAGGTAAGGACGGATTGGACTGGTGGAACTGGATTGAGAAAGGGTGGGTTATGTAAGGCCATGAAATGTAATTCCAAGTGGAAAATCAGATGTCAAGACAATCCACCGAGGATTGCCACATCTCATGTTCCACAGCCAAAAAGGGTCAATGTTTACATTATTTCTCAACGGATTTCTCAATTAGGAAATCCAGGATGCTAACTTGTGAGAATGCCTCAAGTAGTCCCCATTGGGATTTCTTAATTAAGAAATCTGTTTAGAAATAGCGCAAAATGTTCATTCTTGAGAGAAAATGAAATAGCAGGATATAGAAGGGGTGAGGAATTATGTCGAAAATAAACACTGGCTTGGACCAGTTGGGTCGAATGACTGAACAATGTTACTATGCAATGTTCCTCGTTTTACTTTCTGTATTCAATCAAAGATAACTATTAATAATAATAATAATCCTTGCATTTGATATAGCCCCTTATTACATCTTTGAGACTCTCAAAGCAGCTTCACACAATATACTGTAAAATTAATTGACTATATTTCATGGGTGAAAAATTGCCCTAAACAAAGTTTTGCTATTTTACTAGACTGATTTATGTTTGACTGGTGCTGGTGAATCAGCCTCTTGATTTGACTGTGTATTAAAGAACCTTTTACCTCTGTGTAAACGGTTGGTATATTTACTCTGTTTTCCTGGTTATTTAGAACCCCTCAGCTGCCAATAACTGGCTTTCAGCAGCCTCCAATCTCAGCCCTCTACTATACTTGTAGTTTAAAATTCAGTGCTTTGAGACGGAGCTCTCGTCTGTGTTTTACACTCAGAGATGCCGAGCTTCAGGGCTGGGGTTAGTTTTTAAAAAATTTTAAATGTTAAAAAATGAAAACTGAATGAAATTTCTATGTGTCAGTCAGTATCGGTAGAATCGCTGCTCTGTTCTCCCTGCACCTTACTCCGATGCTGCATGGCCCGGTGGTAAGCGATCTGCACAGACTTCCTGATGTTTGACTTCCTTCCTTCCAACATCTTCATTTTATCCATGGTCTGGTCCACACCTAGAGGAACCAGCTTCGTTCGAGGGAGCCATTGCCTGGGAAAAAAGCACCCAGTTTATATCATTGCACCCGTCTTAATTTAATTAATCCTTTAATCCTTGCAATTGGTATACTGTAGCTCCTTTCATTACAGGAGGATGTTTCAAAGCACTTCACAGGATATACTGTAAGGTGTAGCGATTGTGTATTTGTAGACAAAAGCGGCAGCTCATTTGCACACAGCAATGTCCCACTAACAGAATGATCAATTTTACTTTGGGATTGTTGGCCAGGACACCGGGAGAAACTCCCTTGTTTTCGAATAGCGCCACGGGATCTTTAACAACCACCTGAACAGGCAGGCGGCACCTCGATTTAACATCTCATCCAAAAGATGGTACCTCCAACAATGCAGCACATCCCCACTACTGCACTGGAGTGTTAGTCTTAGACTTTGTGAGTTCAAAGTCCAGACATGGGCTTGAACCCACAAATTTCTGACGCAGAGGTGAGAGTGCTTCCAAGTGAGCCAGGCTGATGCATATCTTTACCTAGGTCTAGGCCTTAAAACCCTCATCTTAAAATTTAAGATTGTGCAACCTTTTTAAATTCAGTCCAATGTAAGAGCCAGTTATTTTGCTGAAAACTGGTTAGACTGAATTTACCAAAAGAATTCTGCACAATCTGATGTTTTAAGACAAGTTTCAAGGCTGAAACCATGAGGAATCAGGACTCAGAGATTGCTCCAGTGATCCCTGGTGGAAAAAGTAAGTGAAGACAGCATTGGGCTTAGCTGTGCTACTCCCGGTACTTGAATAACCTGCTGACATACACAGCCAATAGCCCATTTAGACTTAGAAGAATGTTATATCTCCCTGCACTGGTCAGCATTAGTACAGGCGTATACAACAGTCTTGGGGTAAAGAGCCTGAGAATGAAGAAGATACGAGCAGTGAAAAGGCCATCAAGACCACTCTTCTCAATGATCCAGCCACAATCTGCTTTGTCACGAGTCTCATACTTCCAAATGGATTTGAGTAAACGCTAGGGGATGGAGACAGATTAAACAAAAGGCTATCTCCTACAACGTCTGACACACCTGGTCCCAAAGAGGTACAACAGGTCATAAATCTTACCAGGTCCTCTTGTTGTCAAAGAAAAGAACGAGGTAGAGATGTTCGCGAGCTTCTACTGTCATTTGCTCTCCCAGTTTGAGGACATCCAGTGGCGGAACAGGGATAGGAACACCATGATGATACAGTCCTTCCCGAGGCATCTTCGGATCAATTATCTGCACAGAGAACAAAGGAAAACATTTCTGTAAAGTAATAGCTGCCCAAGTCTGTCCATAAAGACCAATTAAGCCACAATCATAGATAGCCGGGGCAGATAAATGCAGCCATTACATGGCAAGGAACAGATCGCGTTTACAGTGAATGCACTATCAAAATGCAGCTCAATTGCAATCCTACTGTTATCTCTCCCGCAGGCTTACCAGAGCTGGGTAAGATGGGTAACCCCTACACTTTGCCCAGACCAGATCCAGAGCCTCCAAGGGACTGTCTTCATCATCTGACAACCAGCCTGTGGAACGACCCAGCCCCTTACGCACTGTTGTAAAAAAAATATGAGAAAGCTTTAGCAATTACAATGCCGGAACCAGGAATCAACATGTTCAACATTGTGGATAGAAATTCTCTTGAATTTTATACATGGTTACAGTTAGAGCTCAGTTGTGTATCAGAGATACAAACCCTGGCCTTTTCCTCCACCTTAATGAAAATTATGGATACTTGAGCTACTTTACGCATTCAATTCACTTCACTTTTACACTATGCTCGAAGCTGGACACAGATTTTACACTACCAGTTTTCCCAAAGGGAAGAAGTCCCATTAAGGAAATATTGTTCGCCCCCAGCCCTTTTCCTATCCCCCCCTCACTCATCCACCTTGTATTTTTCCCGCTCCAAATATAATTCTAATTTATTACTGATTGTTGCAGTGCTGATGTCTGGCCACAAGATGGTGACAGCACCACAGGAATAGAAAACTGCCGATCAGGACTGTGTTTCTAAATCGCTTTCATTTTATTTATCCCACTTTCCAGATCTCTCCCCATATGCTCAGGTGTTTATCCAGTTCATCACTAAATGATTCTACTGATCCAGCCTTAATAATAATATTGTGATAAGTGTTTTTCACGTCAGGAGGACATTCCAAAATGCTTCTCAGGATATACTGTGAAGTATACAGACTGTAAGCTTTGTGAGCAAATGTGACAACCCATTTGCAGACCGCAATGTCCCACAAACAGCCATGAAGTGAATGATCAATTTTATCTGGTGGATTTTTGGTCAAGATACTACTCTTTTTGACTCGTGCCATAGGATCCTTAAAGTCCCACAAACATTGATTTAAGGTCTGATCTGAAGGATAGCACCTCGAATAATGTAGTATATCCCCAGAACTGCAGTGGAGTGTCAGTTTAGACTACATGAGTTCCAAGTCTCGACGTGGGGCTTGAACCTTTTGACTTAGAGGCGAGAGTCCTGCCGACGGTAGGCATAAGCACGGTCAAGGTTTTCTCCTCTTTAGTGGAAAATGCCCCAATTGAGCCCCCTTCCTACACTCTGCTGAGATCCTTTCTTTAATGGAAAGCCAAGAACTCCCAAAAAACACAATAATCCAATTGGCAATGGAATATCAGAATTCAGTCAATCCTTTATTGCAATCTCTGCGGTCCAGTTCTTGAACAAGGTGGGTTTACAGCACTTGAGGGGCACTGATGATGAGTGCTCAGCCAGCCTGGCTCATCTTGAAGGGCAGACCAGTCACTGGGGGCCAGGATTCTTCCCACTCAGCTCCTGTTAATTCTGCAATCCAAAGCTCTAACAGTAGGGTGGTGCTAGCTGGACAAGCAGCGGAAAGCTTGTTAGACAGAGCTTTCAATTGGTTTTAGCTAGTTAAACTCCAGTTGTACTCTAACACACACTATGGGATCCTCAAGCCTTGTTTCTCGCTAATTTGTGCCTAATACCTTCTAGAATTAGGTTTCAGCATGCGTGAGATAGCCAAATGACCAAAAAAAGTTCTAGCAGATGTTCCGGAATCTTATAATAGTCTGTGAATCTGAGAATCCTATTTGCCTTCTCAATAGCTTTCCATACCTGACACCCCCCTTTCAATGATTTACTTATTTGGAGCCCCGCAGTCGCTAACAGTTACTTTCTTTGAAGCAAAAGTGACCCAAAACCACAACTCACCACTGTGCCCATGCCGGCTGGAACCAACATTATAGGATTCATTCTCTGTACAGGAAGTGTCTTCACTGCTGTCTTCATGGAAATTCACCCGGGAAAAAGAGGGTTTCCCTCGACCCTGCTTTGACGGGGTTGTGCTGTGAGGCAGAGAAAGAAGTCTTTTTGGTCAGGACGAAATGCATTGTTTTCCAAGTGCCAACAGCAACACTAAAGTGGCTCTGTGTCTCTCATGTCTAAAATGCTTCAGTAGTGTCACTGCTGTGAGGATCATGGAAAATTATATTGGCTTTCTGAGCAATGAAAATTACTAAGATTGCTGACTTCCTGTTCATAAGATCACTTACATTGCTTCCTGCTTTCTACATGCACAAAACACAGGAAGTGATGTTATCTGTGACTTGAAGAATCAAAAGTCGACCATTTTTTCCTCTTAGGTCATGAACTGGCCAGAGCACAGGAAGTGTGCTAGTTGGCAACATTCATGCACAGTAAAAGCCACTAGCGTTTCTCACTATAATCAGGGTGGGATTTTATATATTCCAAACCACCGGTTTGAGGTTGCTCTAACAATTGCACTTATGCACTAACAACAAGTCACAGAATCCTGTAGCATAGTGATTATACCACTTGCCTCGCAAGTGAGAGACTTGGGTTCAATTCGTGGCAGGGAAAAACATTGGGCAAGTTTTCTTACTCCACACGCCTGTTTACTGTGTGTAGGAACCCAGTTGCTAATCGATTGGTGGATCGCTTTCTAGGGGTAATAATCCCTCAAAAGAAATTGGTCACTCAATTCACCACACTGCTGGGTGCAATTGGCTGCTGCATTTCGTCCACAAAATACAGTCAATCCACTTTACAATATATTCTGTGAAGCGCTTTGAGATGTCTCAACATCATAATAAGACACTATGAAATGTAAGAATTATTATTATAATAACTTGAATTTACATAGCGCCCTTTATGCATGGAGTATATCAGAGAGCTGAGGTCCACCACATGTACACATGCAAGTATTAGGTATACTGTATTATGTGAGACTAGTGTGTATTGGTGGCTACCTATGTGAGGTGAGCTGGTCTCAGTGTGTATTGGTGGCTACGTGAGGTGAGCTGGTATCAGTGTATCAGTGTGTATTGGTGGCTATGTGAGGTACCTGGTGCGGTCGGATGCGGCGCTGCTGCTGGTGCTGGAACTGGACTCGGTGTCGGAGCTGCTTCTCGGGAGACTTCGCTCGTTCCGGTAAACTCGGAAACTCTCGTTCACAGGCTGGCTGCCTCCATCAAAGCCATTGGTTGGCAGTCCTGTAAATGGGGACAAAATCCTGAAATCAGATCCATTTGGTGGCAAAAAACACGTCCTAATGGTAATCCTTGTGTTTGATACATTGTCTGTTGTAGTGCCTATAACATTGAAATGTCATAAAGTGTAGTGACTGTCTATTTCTAGGCCAGCATGATAGCATCATAGCAGGTTTTACTGAGCATGTATGCAGTCAGCCAACTCACTTCCTGTGCACCAGCCAATTCCTGCACTAAAAGGAAAATGGATAACATCTGCTTCCATGGGTCACACATAATAGATATGGTGACATGTGGGCGTATAATAAGCACATGTTCATACATGGTGGGCAGCAATGAACAAGTAATCTGGAGAACTGTTGCTCAGGACACTGGGAAAAGTGTCCTCTTTTCTAATAGTTTCATCTCAGCCCGGCTCAGTTGATTGTACTAGAAATACACTTTGAGACATTCAGTCACTAACAGTCACTATGAGACATTCATTCCCAAGGCCATTCTCAAGACTTTCCTCTTTGACCGTGCCTTCAGCCACCCCCCATCCTCAATCCCCTCCAAACATCTCGATTCCAAACCCATGCTCGTGTGCAAACCCTTAACTGTCCAGCGCCTTGGGACATCCTTCCGACATGAAAGGCAGTATATAAATATAATTTGGTGATTACTGCTGTTATTTCAACGTTACAGGTTTAATAGGAACCATGTGTGAACATGTGTTTATTACACGTCCACATGCAACCATGTCTATTATGTGTGACCCATGGAAGAAGACGTCGGCCATTTTTCTTTTAGTGCAAGAACTGGCTAGTGCACAGGAAGTGAGTGGCTGAGATAAGGCAACTCAGTACAGACCAGGATTCAAGCCTTCTATCCTGGCCGGAGCTTAACCCATTGCTCTGTTGTGGGAGCTCTAATTCAATATAATTTCATTGCTATGCACAAAGTGGCTACAGTGTTTGCTTCCAAAACACAGTGATTACACTTTGCAGTAAAACATGTGAAGCATCATCCTGATGTGAAAGGCGCTACTTCAAATAATAATAATCCTTGCATTTGATTATTACCTGCAGAAAGCGATCTGCCAATCGACAAACAACTGTGTTCCTACTTACTGCTAGGTAAACAGAGTAAGGAAACCTGCCTCATGTTTCACCACACCTGAGAATTGCACCTGGGTCTCTTGCTTGTGAGGTGAGTGCTCTAATCAATAGGTTACAGGACTACAAATGCAAAGTTAATGATCTGTGAATTTTGGTGAAATTCAAGCGCGGTGTCCTTACCAATGTGAGCGTCTCCCCCTGCTGACTTGTCGCTGTCGCTTTCTGAGCTGGTGCTGGAGCTGCGGCCTCTCTTCCTGGACTGGCTGCAGCGGCTTGGGGTTTGTGGAGCCGCAGGGTTGGTGGTGCCCACACCCTGGCTCGGGATAACCTGGGCCTCACGGTTCTTGGGTGGGCGGCCTGGCCGCTTATGTAAGCCGATACACTTGTTCTTGGACTTTGCCGTGAACAGAAACTTTGTCCGTCTCCCGACTTCTGCCGCCGAGGCTGAGGAGGTGGTGCCGAGCCCTGCAGATGGACGGCAATATTTTCTGGTGAAGCAAAGCGTGTCAACATACAACACTTCTCAAAGCTTAGAGAGGGGATTCTTAACAGCAAAAGCTAGCACAACTAGTATCTTAGTGTTAGTTATTAGAATAGAACTGAGCAGCAGCTCGGAGCTGCAGCCAACGAGGAGCAAGAGCAGAGAAAGCCACCAAACCACAGTTTCCTCTCAGCCACTTCACCTACAACGCTGTTAACCAAATTTCTCATAGAACCATAGAAATTGAAGCACAGAAAGGCCATTCAGTTCATCGAGTCTGCACCAGCTCTCAGCGCAGGTATTCATTCATTCTGCCTTATTCTCATACCTCTTCAAGCCTCTATCCTTCATACACTGTACTTGGTTGCTTCCCTCTTGAAACTATTATTTTCATTTTCAATGCTTTACGGGCACTACAGTGAGCAAGCACACAGATAGCAGCTTCTTAGTTGCCTGAGAGATATTGACAGCGTGGGAAGTGCCCTGGTTGGATAAAGTATTAAATTCACAAGGGTCTGCACAGAACTCAGCAGTAAGTAGTGGGTATGAACACTAAGCTCTTAAAGAGGCAGGCAATGTACAGTCTTGGAGCAGGTTACAAAATAAAAATGATTAGAAATGAAAGTGAACATCGTACGATGTGTTAATTTGTGCTAGCAACGTCCCACAAACAAGATGCATACCTTGCATTTGATTTAACTATCAAGATGTCAAAATGTCTCAACACACTTCACAGGATTGACTGTGATGTGGGTAATGTGCCATGGGATTTTTAACGTCCCACTGAACAGGCAGACAGGACCTCAGTTTAACATTTCAACTGAACGATGGTACTCGAAGCACTCAACACTGACTGGAGTGTCAACCTAGACTATGTGAAAAAGTCCAAAATGGAGCTCAAAGTCCCTAAATGGAGCTCAAACACGCAACCACTCGAACTCAAAGGCCAGAGTGCTACCAACTAAGTCAGGCTGAATAGCCAATTAATCTGAATTTGGGGGTAAACATGGATGAGGAGGTGAATATAAACCAGGATTCAACACCCTCAGCTCTGAAACAGGCAGGCAATGTCCAGTTTCAAAGCATGTTACAAAATAGAAATAATTTGAAATTAAAGTGAATATTGTTAGGTGCTATGGCACATTACTGTGTGGAAATTGCCTTGAAATACAGTCACTACACTTTACAGTAAATCCTGTAAAGCAATGTGATAGGGGGCTATATTAAATGTAAGGATTATTTAGGCTACCTGGGTTAAACAAACGTATTTAACAATGATAAAAGTCATTTATGTTGTTTTCCCTGTCAAGACAACTCCTCGTGAATATATATTCTATTGACCTTGCCTTAAATAGTATAACAGATGGCTCATGCACATGTATTGGTCTGTCTCAGTCACACTTGTTACAGTCAGCCTGAGAGCAGATGTTTAATGTAGTTTAATTTAATTCTACTCTCCCAGTCCCCAAATGTCATCGGAAGTTCTACTCCTGTCATATCACACTAGGCATGACTGGAACAGAACTTCACACGGACACCTGGGGAGTCCACACAGAACACCTGTTCCTTGCTGCTAGAATCTCTAGAACCAGCAGATTTGTGTCTCTTGGAAAAACACTTAAGGGGGAATCTGACAGATGTGTTTATATTGTGAATGGTTTGGAAAATTTGAATAGAGATCATTTGTTTGTATCTTGAACAAAATTCTAAATCAAAAGGGTCACAGTTTCATAATAAGGACAATAAAAGTTAATTGGAATACAGGAGCGTGTTTTTAAGTGTTCTTTTGCTAGATGTTGAAGTTTCGCTGCAATTGGGTAATGAGATAGATGTATGGAAGTAACTATAGAGAAGTTGATCAGTTAACTGGGTGAACTAAAGCCCTGCCCTAGTCTGAAACTGTTGATGCATCACTAATACACTGCAACAGGACGTAAGTAGTGAAAAGACAACACGCACGGAGCTATATTTCAGTTTGCTCTATGAGTACCCTCTAATCTTGCCCTTTTTATATTAAAACTCTGTTTTAGTGATTAGTCATTTCAAGTTATTTTTGATTTCTCTCCTGTTAGAAACTCAAATAATTTGAAAGCTCGAGTTAAATCCATACCTTTCCCTGTCTCATGACAGCTGCTTTCCTCAGCTGCACTGTCCGTCTGTCCGTCTTTAATGGAGGGGTTCATTCCCGGAACGCATCCCCTTCCCGGAGCGCCGTGCCGGTCTGATCCCAGGCTTGGCTCTCTGTGCTGCCCGAGCTTCCGTCGGATCATGGTGATCTCCTTACGCAGTAGTTTGGCTCGCCGTGAGCGCCCGCTGTTCTGTTTGACCGAGCCCATCGTCTCGAGCTTCTCCAGGAGAATCTTCAGCTGCTCCTCCAGCGGCAAGTGCGATCGGTTCTCGGGGACCAGCAGCCGATCCACTTCTGCCATACCGTATTTATAATGAGAAAGAGATGGATCGAAAGGAAAACAGCAGTAAACAAACTTTTAACAACTTCATGGGGGATGTCTCAAAGACCCTTAACAATCCTTGGCACCGGAACTGGGGTGGGAACTGAGGGGGCAGAGGGGAAAGATGAAAGCGGTAGGTCTTAACTCGTACCTTGAACGAGGTGAGGGAGGGAACAAGTCTGAGGGACTCAAGGATGGCATTACAAAGACTGGGACAGAGAGGATGAAAACCCACCTACGAATGGTGAGGGAAGGTAAGTGGGAGACATGAAGCAGGCCACTTCCTGTAGAGTGAAAGGAGCTGCCACGTCAGTGGTGTTTGAGGGGGTCACAGTGGTAAGATGAGGCGATACCATGACTGAAGTGCTGGGTATAGTCACTACACTTCACAGTAAATATTGTGAACTAGTTATGAGACATCCTCCACACGTAAAAGAATTACACGAAATGCAGAATGCAAAATACAAGTAGCAGCAATTTGGTATAACACTACAACCTCTGCAGGATTAACATTTGGTCTCTGATAGTAAGCCAAGTCATCTAGCAATGGTGATTTAATTAGATTATTTTTGTGATTATTGAGAAAGATAGGCCTGTTTTACATCTACATGGAGAGCCAATTTACTCTGCCCTCTCAGTTCCCACCCCAGTTCTGGTGCCAAGGGTCTTTGAGACATCCTCCATGAAGTTGTTAAAAATGTGTTTACTGTTCCACCTCACTGTCTGCTGTGACAATGTAGCAATGGAGACAAACTATCTTCATAATACAATAGCAAGAGAATTTGAATGGTTTGATTCAGGATCTGATTTGAGACTTTGAAGCTCATAAACCAAACTGATATATACATAAATGACTTGGATGAAAAAAATAGAAAGTTTTGAATCCAAGTTTGCGGATGACACTAAGATAGGAAGCTCAGCAAGTAGTGAAGATGGGAGTAGGAAGTTATAGAGGGACTTAGACAGATTAAGTTAGTGGGCAAAGCTGTGGCAGATGGAGTTCAATGTAGGGAAGTGCTAGGTCATCCACTATGGACCGAAAAAAGATAGGGCAGAATACTTTCTTAACGGGGAGAAATTAAGAGCTGCGGAAGAGCAAACAGATTTGGGTGTCTATATCCACAAATCACTAAAAACATAATCAAAAAGGCAAATGGTATGTTGGCCTTTAACTCGAGAGGCCTGGAATGCAAAGGGAAAGAAATGATGCTTCAGCTGCATAAAGCGTTAGTCAGATCCCACCTGGAGACTGCGTTCAGTTTTGGGCACCGCACCACAGGAGAAATATATTGGCCTTGGAGGGGGTGCAGCACAGGTTCACCAGAATGTTATCAGGCCAAAAAGGGTTAAGTTACGAGGAAAGGCTGCGTAAACTTGGATTGTATTCCCTCGAATTTAGAAGATTGAGGGGTGATTTGATAGAGGTTTTTAGGATGATAAAGGGATTTGATAGGGTAGATGCAGAAAAGCTATTTCCTATGTTGGGGGAATGGGGGAATGCAAAACAAGGGGGCATGGTCTTAAAATTAGAACCAAACCATTTAAATGTCACACCACTATTTAAAAAAGGTGGAAAGGAAAAGGTGGGGAACTATAGGCCAGTTAGTCTCACATCAGTGATAGGAAAATTTTTAGAATCATTGATTATATGGTAGTGCGGTATTTAGAGGAGCACAATATAATTAGGCCAAGTCAACATGGCTTTACAAAAAGGAAATCATGTTTGACAAATATCATAGAGTATTTTGAGGATATTTCCAGTAAACCAGATAAGGGTGAATCAGTGGATGTGGTCTATTTGGACTTCCAGAAGGCATTCGATAAGGTGCCGCATAAAAGGTTTGTCCAAAAGATAAGGGCCCATGGAATTGGCAGGAGCATATTAACGTGGATTGGGGAATGGTTAACGGGTAGGAAACAAAGAGTAGGGATAAACGGGTCCTTTTCGGATTGGCGGAATGTGACTAGTGGAGTGCCACAAGGATCAGTCCTTGGGCCTCAGCTATTTACCATCTACATCAACGATCTAGATGAGGACATTGAAGTTAATATATCTAAATTCGCGGATGACACAAAACTAGGAGGAAGTGCCAACACAGAGGACGACAAAAAAAAATGCAGCGAGACGTAGATAGCTTAGGTGATTGGGCAGGTAGGTGGCAGGTGAAGTATAATGTAGGGAAGTGCGAAGTCATCCATTCACCTAGGTAGCAAAAACAGTAGAGCGGGTTATTTTTTAGAAGGGGAGAGATTAGAATGTGTTAGCGTCCAGAGGGACTTGGGTGTTCTTGTACACCAATCACAGAAAGTTAGTCTGCAGGTGCAGCAGCAATTAGGAAGGCGAACGGTATGTTAGCATTCATTATGAAAGGATTAGAGTATAGGAGTAGGGAAGTCTTGCTGCAACTGTATAGGGCCCTGGTGAGACCACACCTGGAATACTATGTGCAGTTTTGGTCTTCTTTATTTAAGGAAGGATGTACTTGCCTTGGAGGGGGTGCAGTGTAGATTTACTAGGTTAGTACCAGGGATGAAGGGGTTGAGTTACGAGGATAGGCTGACCAATTTGGACCTATATTCTCTAGAATATAGAAGAATTAGAGGGGATCTTATAGAAACCTATAAGATCATCAAAGGGCATGATAGAGTAGATAGTGGGAGATTGTTTCCCCTGGTTGGAGAAACTAAAACCAGGGGTCGCAACCTTAAAATCAGAGGTCAGCCCTTTCACACTGAGTTGAGGAAGAACTTCTTCACTCAAAGGGCGATGAATGTATGGAACTCACTACCCCAAAGGGCTGTTGACACTCAGTCCTTGAACATATTCAAGACTGAGATAGATAGATTTCTTATTGCAAAGGGGATTGAGGGATATGGGCATAAGGCAGGGTCAGGTTATTAGCTGGAGTTAGATTAGAAGATCAGCCATGATTGAATGGCGGGGCAGGGTCGAAGGGCCGAATGGCCTACTCCTACATGTTATGTTAAGAGTGAAATTAGGAAGCATTTTTTCACTCAAAGGGTGGTAGAAATCTGGAACTCTCTCCCCCAAAAGGTCATGGATGCTGGATCCATCCATACCTTCAAGAAAGAGATTGACAGATTTTTGGTAGGTCGGGGTATTAAGGGATATGGGGAGAAAGCAGGAAATTGGATTTGAAATTGTAGTAAAGAAATAGATCAGCCATGATCTAATTAAATGGCCGAACAGGCTCGACGGGCTGAATGGCCTACTCCTATTCCTATGCTGAACACAAGGCTACATTGTGCCACATTGTCACAGAGTTGCCGTCCTTCGGAGACTGCAAAACAAGATCACGGCTACTTGTTCAGGCAGACATCAAAGATCCCGCTGCAGTCCTCGAAAAGAGGAATTTCTCCTCATGTTCTGCTGGCCAACAATCTCCAAATAAAATCATTCGTTCACTTTAAGGCTCTTTGTGGGCTATTGCTGTGTGCAAATTGGCTGCTGGGTTTGCCTACAATTTTGCAGTCACAGATACTCTGAAGCAGTTTGAGGCACTTGACGTTACAGCTGCTACATCAAATGCAATGATTATTACATCTGAAATTGGATTCCAAACAAGCAGGGATGAGTGACATCAGTCATTAATCTTTAATCTGAAAATACACTCACCTTCTTCCCAGAATAGCTGCCCAGAGTTGTCTGGTGCCACCAGTTCAGGTGTGTGCATCCCGGTATCACAGTCAAAGCTGATTTTCTCTGCCTGCCTGCGGGCGTGCTTCAGCACCACACCACCCTGGTCTCGGAGACGGATGGCTGCGCGGTAGAATATAGTATCCTTGGCGTTGTATTGTAAACAGTTTTTCACAATCACATTAAAATCCTCTTCAAACTCATCAAACGTCCGATATAGGTGCTCCTCCAGCTGCTGTTTCATGGTCTTGAAGTCCATTGGTTTCTTAATGTGATCCAAGTAATCTGGAACCTGAACAACATTGAAATACGGGATGGAGTTAAAGTTATAGCTATAGAATTCTATATTTAAAGTTATAGCATTTTGTGTACAAAATTCACATTCACTTTACAATATATATACTGTGAAGCGCTTTGAGACGTCTCAAGGAGGTGTTAAGGTGCTGTATCAAAAGCAATGATTATTATTATCATCTAAAGGTAGCAGTTTTCATTCAGAGTCCGAAACCCAATTTCCTGAGTTCAAGCAAAATTGAGAAGTTGTTATAGGAATAATACTTGGCCCGTAGGTGTCGCCAGCACTTTTTATTAGTGATTAACAACAAGATTACATTTATATAGCACCTTTCACGTCGGGAGGATGTCCCAAGGCGCTGGACAGTGCACAGTATTTCAGACCCAAGCTGGGGTCGGGGGGAGTGGAGAAAGGAGAGGAGGGGAAGGGAGTGGCCGATGGCATAGTCGAAGGGGAGGGTCTTGAGGCGGGACCTGAAGGAGGCTAAGGAGGGGGCGAGGCGGAGTGATTGGGGGATGGAATTCCAGAGGTTGGGGGCAGAGTGGCTGAAGGCTCTCCCGCCAATGGTGAGGCGGGTGGGTCGGGAGACATGGAGCAGGCCGGAGCCGGCTGAGCGGAGGGAAAGAGCGGGTTGGTAGGGGGTTAGGAGTTTGCAGAGGTAGGGTGGGACAAGGCTATGGAGGGCTTTGTAAGTGTGGATCAGGATCTTGAGTTGGATCCTCTGAAGGGTAGGGAGCCAATGGAGTCGGGCGAGAGTGGGGGAGATGGGGTCATGGAGTTTGGTGCAGGAGAGGACACGGGCTGCAGAGTTCTGGATTATCTGCAACTTGTGGAGGGAGGAGTTGGGAAGGTCGACAAGCAGGGTGTTTGCACAGTTGAGCCTGGAGGTGATGAAGGCATGAACAAGAGTTTCAGCGGCCTGAGGGGTGAGGTAGTGCAGAGGCGCTGGCGCGAGCCAATCAGGAGGGCCTCAGTCTTGTTCACATTCAAATATAGGAAATTTCCCCTCATCCAGGACTTGATGTCCGACAGGCAGTCTGTCAGGACAGCAGTGGTCCTGGAGTTGAGGGTGGAGGCAGAAAGATAGAGTTGGGTGTCATCCACATACATATGGAAGTTGACCCCATGTCTGCGGATGATGTCACCAAGGGGCAGCATGTAGATATTAAAGAGGAGAGGACCAAGGACAGAGTCCTGGAGGATGCCAGACGTGACAGTGCGGGGGCTGGAGGAGAAACCGTGAGAGGCAACAAAGTGGAGACAGTGAGAGATAGGAATCAAACCAGGCAAGGGCAGGTCTGTGAAAATTGAGTAAAGTGGAGAGGTGGTGTATGAGGATGGAGTGGTCGACACTGTCGAAGGTGGCAGAGGGGTCGAGGAGGACAAGGACGCAGAGGGAGCCTTGATCACAGATGTTCAGAATGTCATTAGGGACTTTGACCAGGGCTGTTTCGTGCTATGGGCAGCATGGAAGCCGGATTGGAGGGGTTAAATGTGCCAGTAGAAAATCTTATATGGACTCCCAGTGGTGGTGCACCAACAAATAGACCGACTCAGATGCTTGAAGAGAATTTTAACTTGAATGCCAACAACTGCTTCCAATAGATCACCAAAGTTACCAAACTCAGTGGAAAAACATGTTTGTGACAGTGTGCTCATGTTGAACATGTAGGCACATTCTGTATGTATAATTTGAATTGCAATGTTACATTGGACAAATGGAACTGACAATAATTTAGAATACGACTGCAAACCAGACTGTCTGGCAACTTCCATTTACAACTATCAGCCTGGCTCACACTCTCACCTCTGACTCAGAATGGAGTGGGTTCAAGCCTATGTCAGGACTTCAAACTCAAAGAGTCCAGGCCGACACTCCAACGTAACGCTGGAGAGCGCTGCATTCTTGGAGGTGGCATCCTTCAGGAGACGTAAAACAGGTCCAGTCTGCCTATTCAGTACAGATTTTAAAGATCCCATGGCGCTATTCGAAAAGAGAAGGAGGTTTCTCCCGGAGTCTCTGCACGGGAATCAAACTCAGGTCCTCTCCCTTGCAGGGAATGCCCTAACCTATACTCTACAGGACTCCACAATGCATTGTTTCATGCTCACTGTGGGTTACATACCTCCTTCAGGGGTACGGGCTCGCCAAAGATGTTCCCCGTGTCCTTTTCCTGAAGCTGCTCCAGGGTCTTGCGAAGAAGGATAAGGAAGGGCGTCAGCTGCATCTCCATAGCAAACTGCTGTATTTTAATCTGGGTTACAAGCAAAGCAGAGGTTATTACCACCCAATTCCAGCTGGAAATGAAGAAAGGTTGACAAGCCTTTGTATTCTGGCGTGATGAGGAAAGGAGCTGCATGAGGCCCCCACAGATCAGAAGGCAGCAGGATCTGTGCCGAATGAACCAATTTCAACCGAGACAACATTTGGGGCCGCAATAGACCTCAATGCCCCTGGGTGCTGGGGGTGAGGGGAAGGGGGGAAATCAGCCAGGGGTCACATTGGTCCATCAAGCCTGCCCATAAAACCTTCCAAAATTTAGCTTCCCCTCGCTGTTCCCCTTCCCATGCTAAGAGCATGGGAATTAACTCTAAGATCCGACTCCACGTGTAATAGACACCAAGGTTTCCAGATAACTTCCAAGAGCTGTCCAACCTCCTCTCTCTTCAACTTTTCCCGCTTGCGAATCAGCTCCACCAGCAGTCGTGCCCTTTCCAAATCGTGCCGTAATCGCTGCCACGACTTCAGCTGCTCCTTCAATGCACAATTTTTCTCTTCAGACTCCCGCTGCAACGACGAGAGAGAGGAAACTCTGTCAGAGGGCTGGCACCAACTCTGCACTAAACCCATTCGGTTTGGGCAATGCAAGGCTTCGGCAGCCTACGGGGAAGAGAGGGGAAGAAAGAGAGAGAGAGAGAGAGAGAGAGAGTGGCAGTGAGCAGAGGGGAGAAAGAGAGATGACAGTGAGCAAGAGAGAGGGAAAGAGATGGCAGCTAGTAGAAAGAGAGCGCAGACAATGAAAGAGAAAGTGAGAGAAACATAGAGGAAGTGTGAGAAGGACAGCAAGTGAGGGAGAGGGCAGGGAAGCATGAGGGAGAGAGGACAGGGCAGTATGCAGGAAGGACAGAGGGCAGGACAGCGAGAGGGAAAGTAGCGAGGGAGAGAGAGAGCAATGTTCGGAAGAGTAGTCAGTAAGTGTTTTGAGTGATTTGATCTCATCCTTGCAGATTACCCACCCTCCTGTTTTCCCATTACAGCATCTTTCATGAGTCTCAGTGACTCTATTGACGCTTCCTGACAACCACTTGTAGTGGTTGATTCCCTTTCCCCTTCTGTGTAAAGAAATACTTTCTGGTATCTGTCCAAAACTTGCCCTTCACACCCTTGAAACATCCTCTTACTGGTGATGGGTTGAACCAGTAGCAGTGGACATTTACCAGCCTCTCCACTTCAATGCTAGTTTTCATAGGATCAGAATTTTACAGCACAGGAGACCTCTCGGTTATTGTGCCGGGCTCTTCCACAGAATTATCATGTTTAGTCCCATTCCCCATATTCTGATTTGTTTCCAAAGATTTGACCTATTCCCTTTAAAAAGCTATGATAGATGCTGCTTCTCTCAGTGTTTTCAGTGGGATATTTCCAGGCTGCCACAAGCTTTGAAACCGTGGTGGGGTTTGGTCGCCGGCCGTGAGCACCTGTTCTGCGTTTCGCTGAGACTGCAGGTGGGACTGTAACCTCCGAAGGAGCGGCACGCCGTTGCGGGACTGTCGCTTTAAAGTCCAATAGCTGTGCAGTCGCTGCATGAACTGGCTCTTGCGCTGAATGGACAGTCCGCCCGTGATCTTACTCAGCCTGAGAGGAAGCATAAGCAATTGCTAAAATGACGTACAAACCAAGGTTTTAAACAAACAACGAGATTAAGTAAGCGGCTCAATAGCTACTACACCAGCAGTGACCAATCTTTTTGGTCGGCCGACCAAATACACTTTTCTTTATTGAATCTTCCTTCATTAATCCCTACGCCATAGTATTGCAGCTCAGAAGCTACTCAGTAACAAACAAAGCATTGATTTGCCATAGACTCGCCTGAGCTGGTACAAGTGTTTGGCGAGCCAAAAGTGATCCCATGGGTCACTGCATCAGTGTAATATAGTGAGCCACCGAGCAGCGATATCCATATAATATATTCTGTGAAGCGCTTTGAGACGTCTTAAAGAGGTGATAAGGCGTTATATCTAGGACTATAATTATTATAATCACTCTCCCTCCTCTTTCTCAATCCTTCTCTCTCTCAGCACACTCTCTCCTCTTGCACACTCTCTCAGTTACTCTCTCACTCTGCCCGTCTCCCACACACACTCTCGCTCTCCCTCAATCAATCTCTCTCCACCCCTCCCTCCCTCTCTCACACACCCTCTTTCCTTGACTCTCTTTCACTCTCCCTCCACACTCTCACACACACTCTCTCCCCTCTCAATCACTCTCTCTGCTTTCTCCCTCCCTGCCTCCATTTCTTTATCTGCCCCTCTCCATCATGCTCTCTCCCCCCTCCCTGTTAATCACTCTATTGTTAAATTCCTTTGTAACTCCATCCCACAATCCCTTTGCCTTGCTCCCTCCCTTGACCCCTTCAAGGCACAACTCAAGACCCTCCTTTTCGACCACATCTTCAGCCACCCTCCTACCACTCTGCCCTCCTTCATCCCAACCCTGGCCCCCACCCATGCTTGGGTCCTGATCCCCAACTGTTAAGTACCTTGGGATGTCCTCCTGACATGAAAGGCGCTTTACAAATGTAATTTTGTTGTTTGTTGTTGTTGTATTGTATCTCTCCCCCTATCTCTCTCACTATCTCCCCTCTATCTCACACTCTCTTCCTCTCACACTCTCTCCCAATCACTATCTCTCCCCTCAATCAATCAATCAATCAATCAATCAATCAATCAATCAATCAATCAATCAATCAATCAATCAATCAATCAATCAATCAATCAATCAATCAATCAATCAATCAATCAATCAATCAATCAATCAATCAATCAATCAACCAACCAATCACACTCTCGCTCTTCCAGCCCTCCAGGAGCCAGCGGTTAGTAAGAGATGAGCTTGCCTTCAAGCTTGTCTCTTACCAGCGCTCCAGGATACAACCCCGATGAAGGGTACTAAATAAATGCAAGCTGCTGTTGTTGTTGACAGACTGCAGCAACAGCTGGCATTATTTCCACTCCCCATGCTGTGTCCTACCAACCGCCGGCTCCTGACACTACCAGGAGAGGCCATTCGACGGGGAGGGAGGGAGGGAGTGAGCAGTCGGCCCAAAGTTGGAAATGGACTGTATGAAATCATCCGCCGGGCTGGATTCAGACAATAGAAGAAAAAGATCACTCTAAGGCCACCAGTAATCGTTTGCTTCTATTGCCTTCACAGACTGACTTTTGTCTTAATAATAATAATCTTTGCGTTTCATATAGCACCTTATCCATCTTTGAGACGTCTCAAAGCACTTCACAGATTGTACTTTAATGTGCATTGACTGTATATTTTGTGGGCAAAACTTGGCAGCCAATTGCGCACAGCAGTAATAAAAATAATAATACGTGCTTTTGATATAGCACATTAACACGTCTTTGAGACGTCTCAAAGTGCTTCACAGAATATACAGTACAATACAGAATGACATTTGTAAAAAGTGCCTTGGGAGCTGAGAGGCCAGGGATAAGAACCCGAGCGGGCAGGGGGCGGTTGGGATCAGGGAGGGTGGAGGGCAGAGAGGTTAGGAGGATAGCCGAAGGCCCGGTTGAAGAGGAGGGTCTTGAGGGTGCCTTGAAGGAGGCAAGGGAGGGAATGAGACAAAGGAAATGTGGGATGGAATTCCAGAGGGTGGGGAAAGAGGCTGAAGGCCCGACCGCCGATGGTGGGGCGGGCCGGGCAGGGGACCTGGAGCAGGCTGAGCGGAGGGAGCGAAGAAATTCATAAGGTGTTAGCAGGTTGGAGAGGCCAGTGGAGGGCCTTGAAAGTGAGGACGAGGATTTTGAACTCGATGATCTGCAGCTTGTGGAAAGAGTTGGGAAGACCAACAAGCAGGGAGTCGAGCCTAGATGTGATGAAGACATGTATGAGGGTTTCAGCGGCCTGAGGAGTGAGGCAGTGGCGGAGTTGGGCAATATTGCAGAGGTGGGGGAAGGCAGAGCAGGTCATCTCATGGACGTGAGGGAGAAAGAACAATGAGGGTCGAACAAGATGACTAGGTTCCTGACTGCCTCGGTGAGATGGAGTGTGCATCCACGGATGCTGATGCTGCCAGTGCCTTAGGTGCAGAGCCAATCAGGAGCGTCTCAGTCTTGCTGACATTCAACTCTAGAAAGTTAGCTCTCATAGAGGACTTGATGTCTGATAGACAATCTGTCAGGACATCATTGGTCTTGGAGTTAAGATTGGAGGCGGAGACACAGAGTTGGGTGTCATCCACATACATGTGGAAGTTGACCCCATGTCTGCGGATGATGTCACCACAAGGGAGCATATACTGTAAAGTGAATTAACTGTATATTTTGTGGACAAATAGTCAGGGATTGAGTGGCCAATTTTTTTTGAAGGAATTATTACCCCAGAAAAGCAACCTGCCAATTCACTAACAACCGGGTTCCGACTTACTACTAGGTAAACAGAACAATGAGGGTCGAACAAGATGACTTGGTTCCTGACTGGCTCGGTGAGGTGGAGTGTGCATCCGTGGCTGCTGATGCTGTCAGTGCCTTAAGTGCGGAGCAAATCAGTGCTCTAATCACTGAGCTACAGGACTTCACAGCAGTGTCTCGCAAACAGCCAAACACAAACAGTCTTACTTTAACTCTTCACAGTCTAGCTCCCAGCTATAGCCTTGTAGAAAACCTTCATGCCCAGTAACCCCTTTAGAACTTAGCTCATGTCTGCACCTTTTCATAGCCTTGCACCTCCTGTCAGCCTCACACAAGCTCGCTTTGCGGTCGCACTAACCCATCAGAGGGACACGATGATCTACCTGTGAGGTGGTATACACGGCACCGAGACCACGGGCGCAGCCGCCCGCTTTTCTGCCAGGATCTTGCGTGCCTTCTTCATCTTCAGGCGCGACTTGGCCTTTGCCTTTTTCACTTTCTCCGAATTTGGCCCCTTCCCATCCTCGCCTTCGTCGTCCTCCTCTTCCTCCCCCTCACTGTGCGAGAGGGCGGGTGGTTTGCGTATCGAGCCGGGCGGCGTATGAATGTCACAGTATGCCGTCTTACGCACGCTGAACGAGGTCCCGTTGGCCCCTGTCTCCCTTACAGGCTCCATTTTCATGTAGAGCCCAGCCTGCTGTGCGCAGGTCACGTGGAAAGCAGTGTAGCAGTTAGCCTTGTGGCACTGGATGCAAGCCCCCGAGCCACGCTGCTTACAGATATAACACGTCAGTTTCCACCGTGCGGGCGGGATGTGCTCAATGCTATCGATGGGCTCCAGGAACACAGTGTTGGCAAAGCAGACCTCAGGGATCCACAGGGCACACACTACGTGCGCCCAGCGCCCGTCGTCTGTCTGCTTGAAGGCGCCACCCTTGTTAGGGCACAGCGCACAGTCCACTGCTCTCGAGGGCGACTGGAGGCACCTGCGGCACAGCCACTGCCCCTCGGGGATATAAGGCACCCCATAGCACTCCTGGTGCACCGCTAAGTTGCACATGTCACAGAAGAGAATGACGTTGCTGTTCTGGCACTCGCCGTCGTTGCAGATACAGCACACGGCATCCTCGTCGATCAGCGTGTTGGGATCGCCCTTGTTGTGGCTCTCAAAGTACGACTCCTTCTCCAGCCGGTCCATCAGGTACTCAAACACCTCCTGCGGGATAAAATTCACCCCTTCGTTTTTCCTTTTCTCGTTCATTATGTCCAGCCACACATAGTCCTCCTCGTCCATGTCGTACTCCACCTCCTCGTCCAGCTCCTCCACCGACTTCTCAATGTAGCGGTAATAGGAGGAGGGCCGAGGGGGAGCGTCGGTCGCATTATGGTCGATCTCACGGTAGATGACCTCTGGAAGTTTGGTGGCCGAGGCGTTAGGGTTGTGGTGGCTGGACTCTTTCCTCTTCTCCTTATTTTTGTGCTTGTTGGCTTTGGGGGTGGGGGTGGGGGTCTCCGTGTTCTCCTTGTTGCTATTGCACTCCACGATGTCCTCCGCGGTGGTGTCGTCCTCCGACAGCACCTCCAGGTTGTCAAAAATGCTGATCCTGTGCAGCCGCCCTTCAATGTCCACCTCCACCATGCGCTGGGCCTGTGCGTAGGTCAGCAGCTCTCGGCTGGGGGACTGGGAGATCTCTGATGGGTTGGGAGACTGCTGCGTCCCTGTCCGGGAGCTGCGCCCCTTCTTCTTGGGCTTGCGAGCGGGGGTCTGCTGCACAGGGTTGTCATGATCATAGTGGTACAGATGATACTCAATGCCGCTGTAGCTTTTATAAATTTTCCGGCAGCTCTCCACTGGGCACTCATACGGAGGTTTCGTCGCTCGGAGGTTGTGACAAAATGTTTTCACATCAAAGTCCAGACCCATCCTGTTATTCCTTTAACAGAGAGAAAATCTAGTAAGCATTGCATGAAACAATGTCCTTCACTAAATAGAATAGTAATAATTATAATAATCCTTGCATTTGATACGGTGCCTTATCACATCGTTGATATGTTTCAAAGCGCTTCATAGGATATACTGTAAAGTGGCATGATCCGTTCTGCCTTCCCCCACCTCAGTGCCTTGGGACATTCACCCGACGTGAAAAGCGCTTTACAAATGTGATTTATTGTTGTTGTTGGATTAAGTGTGTATATTGTGGGTGAAACTTTGCAGCCAATTGCACACAGCAACGTCCCACAAATAGCCACAGAACCAATTCTATTTGGGGACACTGGGAGAAACTCTTTTTGAATAGTGCCATGAGATCTTTAATGTCCACCTGTACAGGCAGACAGGAACTTGGTCTCGAAATGTGATAAGGTACTATCTCAAATGCAAGGATTATTATTATATTATGAAAATAAGATCTTAGAGAAAAATGTATCTAAAATGCAGAATATGTCATCAAGCACCAGAAAAAGTGGACCACATGTTGCTATCATGTCTAGTTCTAGCACAATCAGAATATCTGATTAGGCATAATAACGTAGCTAAATATATTCACTGAACAATTTGTAAACACTGATATTGATGTAAAGACCAATTGGTATGAACATCAACCAGCAAAAGTGGCATTGAGAAACAACATCACAATAATCTGGGATTCACAAGTACGTATAGACAGGACATTGACCTGTAACAGTCCAGATATTATCATAAAGAATCAAATAGATTGTGCTTGTAGTATTATTGATGTTGGTATCCCAAGAGATTACAATGTGAAAAATAAGGAACTAGAGAAAATCAGGAAATATGTTGATCGACAAATTGAATGTGATAATGTAAAACATAGTTCCTATAATCATTGGTGCAACTGGAACTATGATGGAGGGTTAGAGGGATCGTGCAGAGAGGGCGGGGATTGCTCAGGAAATCCATGTGTGCCGAGTATGGGGGCGTTGGGGGCTAGCAGAAGGGTACGGTAGGAGAATATCAGAGAGATAAGGAGGTGGTAAGGCAGGGAGGAACTTAAGAGTGAGAACCTTGAAATCAATTTGCTGAGAGACAGGAAGACAGTGGAGCTCAGTGAGAACTGGAAGATGGATGTACAGAGTTTGGTGGGACATAGATGTGGTGGAGTTTTGGATGAATTGGAGCTTATGAATGATGGAGCAGAAAAAAAGTCATTACACTTAACAGTAAATATTAGTGAAGCATTTTGAGATATTTTAAGCTGCTGTGTGTATCAGCCTGGGTCAGTGGTAGCACACAGTAGAAACAGTGTAACCCTCCCATTCATTATAATAATAATTCTTGCATTTGATATAGCGCTTATCACATCTTCGAGACGTCTCAAAGTGCTTCATAGGATATACTGTAAAGTGTGTTGACTGTATATTTTGTGGGCGAAACGCAGCAGCCAATTGCGCATAGCAGCGTCCCACAAACAGTCGTGAATTAAGTGACCAAATTATTATTTTTATTATTTAATTATTTATTAAATATTTATTATTTAACACAATGGGAATATTACACACCTAGATTTCATTTTATTATTTTATTTGTATGCAAACATGTCATCAATTTGTGCACAGCAACGTTCCACAAACATCAATAAAGTGACTGACCAATTTTATTTGAGGGACTATTGGCCAGGACACCAGGAGAGAAAAAAAAACCTTCTCTCTTCAAGTAGTGCCATGCAATCTTCAATGTCCACTTGAACAGGCAGACAACTCAGTTTTACATCTCATTAGAAGGACAGCACCTGCAACAAAGCAGCCTGCCCCTGGCAGTGAAGTGTCAGACTAGATTATGTGAGTTGAAAATCCCGACGTGAAGCTTGAACTCACAGTCTCTGACTCAGAAGTGACAACCTGGAAAACTAAACTGGGCTAACACCTGGCACAATGCACACAAGAGGATTACACAGATATGACACATCCCATATCATGCGCAAGCGCTGGAAACACATATACATGAACATACATGATGTCTTAAACCCCACCCATTCCAAAAGGGCATTGTCATCAGCAATTCAATACACATAGTGCTTTAAACTTACGCTATACGCTACACACAGCTTCTTGAAAAAACAGAAGAGTCTGTGAACACAAACACCTAGCAAATTGAAAAGCTGTGAACACGCAGACATGTCTCAGCTGTGGGCAGGAAGATGGTGGCAATGCTGAGCTGTGTTGCCCATCAGGAAACTCTCAGGAAGATCCTGGTACCTGTCATCCATCCAGTGAGGGATCAAACCCACAATTGTTGGATGCAAATGACTAACTAGTGACTATCCTCCTTTGGTGTGGGGTAAGCAGGTAAGCAGAGCTGAAGTGGCTCCAAGGGGACATATTTGGAAACAGTATATCAGAATCAAGCCAGCCCTCTGCGGTAGTGTCGGTAGGCAATGATGATGATCACACAGCCAGTGATGATAATGGCTCATCAGCAGGACTTGGAAGGGCAGCTCAGTCACTAGGGGCAAGGATTCTTCCTACTCAGCTCATGTTGATCCTGCAAGCCAAAGCCCTAACAGGTCCTAGCTCAACAAGCAGTGGGAAGCTTGCCAGACAGCAATATCATGGGAAGCTATGCGGTTTTACAATACAAAATTACATTTGTATACCACCTCTCTCATTTGGAGGATGCCCCAAGGTGCTGGAAAGTCACAGATTTGGTGTTGGGTGGGGCGTTGGAGTAAGGAAGGTAACAGAAGGCTCGGTCAAAGAGTAGGATTTTGAGACTTGCCTTGAAGGAGGGAAGGGAGAGAGAAAACCTAAGGGAATGTGGGACGGAGTTCCATTAAGTGGGGGCAGAAAGGTTGAAGGCCCGGCTGCCGATGGTGGGGCGGCCTGGGTGGGGGACATGAAGCAGGCCAGAGCCCGCTGAGCAGAGGGAGTGAACAGTTTGATAACAAGTCACAGAGGTAAGAAGGGGCAAGGCCGTGTAAGAACTTGAAGGTGAGCACAAGAATTTTGAACTCTATCCTGTGAGGGATGGGGAGCCAGTGGAGCTGGGAGAGGGTGGGGGTGATGGGGTTACAGAGCCTGGTGCGGGAGAGGACACGAGCTGCAGCCTTCTGGTTGATCTGCAACTTGTGGTGGGAAGAGTTGGAAAAGCCGACAAACAGGGAGTTGGCGTAGTCGAGCATAGATGTAACGAATGCGTGAATGAGGGTTTCGGCGGTCGAAGGGGTGAGGTATGGCAGAGTCAGGTGATGTTGCAGAGGTGGGGTAAGGCAAAGTGTGTCATGACACGGATATGGGGAGAAAGGACAGTTGAGGGTTAAACAAGAACCCAAGCTTCCTGACTGGCTCAGTGAAGTGCAGTGTGTATCCATGGATGGGGATGCTGCCAGTGCCTGAGGTATGGAGGCGCTGAAGGGAGAACAATCAGAAGAGCCTCGATCTTGTTGACGTTCAACTTAGAAAATTAGCTCCCATCCAGGACGTGATGTCTGACAGACATTCTGTTAGGACAGCAGTGGTCCTGGAGTCGAAAGTGGAGTCAGAGAGATAGAGTCGGGTGTCATCCACATACTTGTGGAAGTTGACTTTTTGTCTGGGGATGATGTCATCAAGAGGGAGCATGTACAAATTGATAAGGAGAGGACCAAGGACAGAGCTCTCAGGAACACCGCACATGACGGTGCAGGGGCTGGAGGAAAAGCTGCTTGTGGAGACAAAGTGGAGACTGTGTGAGAGGTAGCATCTGAACCATTCAAAGACAGAATCATGAAGGTTGAGGTGAGAGGAGAGGCAGTGGAGGATAGAGTGGTCAACTGTATCAAAGGCTGGTTTAGCTAGTTAGACTCCAGCAGTACCCCAACGCACACTCTGGTGTCCCCAACCCTTGGCTCTTGCCAACCTGTGCCTAATGCCCCTTGAAATTAAGTAAGCAAATGTGTTCTTCCAGGGAGAGTGAGCAATACATTTCAATAAATAACTCTGGAATTCCCTTGTACAGGTGAGATGCATGGAATTGTTTGGTTTGGATACTGTTACGCATACGTCAGACACCCAGCTGGCCAAAACAAACAATGCATATCTTATACAGTACACAGTAGTATGAATATCTGGGTGTATCATACCCCAACATGAAGCAAAGCACTATGAATACACAAATATATTGAACCTGATAAAGTATGCACAGTCTGTGAATGCCTAAACATACCATATCCCATACAGTAAACAGCACTGCAAGCACACAGAAATGTTATGGCACTCACAAGACACACGGCACAAATGAACACAGAATGCACAGACATAAACTATTCCAATCAGCATACCCAACCCTGCGAAAACGGACATGTGACATCCCTTTAGCATAAATATTTCCGTGATAATAGTGCTGTAAATACACAGATATATTATAGCCCATAAGTACATACAGCACATTAAACAGACAGACATATCAAAAATAATTCAGTACACACAGCACTGCCAATACTCTAAATACACTGATGTGCCACATATGGTACACACAACACTATGAATATGTAGGACACAGAGCTGTGAATGCACAGACATGTCATATCATACATATACAGAAAGCTATGGCATGTCCACAGGAGTATAAGGACCTGTGAATAACATGGATCCGTCACACACAGTACACAGAGCTATGAATACACAGAGCTATGAATACACAGACGTGTCATGTCACATACATAGAAAGCTGTGAATACACAGACGTGTCATATCCCACACATGCACAGAACTGTGAATGCACAGATGTATCATAAGAGAGAGATATCAGGTTACATATATTACACAGCGCAGTAAATACTCAGGTATGTCATGTGTCTTACAGTACATACAGAGCTGTGAATGCATGGGGTATATTTTGGGGGGAAAACGCGACAGCCACTTGTGCACAGCAGTGTCCCACAAACAGTGGTAGATTGAGTGACCAAATTATTATAGTGTTTTAAGGAATTATACCCTTGGAGAGCGATCCGCCAACAGCCGGGTTCCTACTTACTGCTAGATAAACAGAGGCATGTGGAATAAGGAAACTTGCCTAAGGTTTCACCCTGCCCAGGAATCGAACCCAGGTCCTCTCGCTTGCGAGGCGAGTGCTCTAACCAATACCCTGCAGGACTCCACATATCCTATGCAGTACACAGAGCAGATGTATTACTCCTCATACTAAGTGAAATAATAATAAATAATAATCTTTGCATTTGATATAGCGCTTTTCATGTCTTCTAGACGTCTAAAAGCGCTTCACAGAATATAACAGAATTGACTTGATATATTTGTGGGTGAAAGTGCAGTAAATACATAACATAGCCTTATAGCACTCTCAGCTCTGTGAATACATAGTTATGTTATACATCATACTGCTCACACGGAGCTGTGATTACATAGGCAGGTCCTTTCCTATGCAAAGTACACAGTGCTGTGAATACAAAGTAACATCACCTAACAGCACTGTGAATACAGAAACATGCCATGCCCCATAAAGGAAACAGTGCTGTCAATTCATGATGTTGTGTACAGTACACACAGCACTATAATAAGATCAGGGTTCGATAGTTCCGTGTACAAAGTTCAGCACCGAAGTGTCACAAGTCTAACTGAATGATCATATTAACCATATCATACAGTAAATACCATCACACATGTAGTGCGGCTCATAGTAGACGGATACTTCATTCATACACACCAGAGTATTCAATTTCTAAACAATGTTGCAAATCAGCACAGATGTCGGTAGGTTTGTTAAGTCCATATTCGAAACATTTGAGACAAACTTTTCATTTCCTACTTTCCAAAACACAACGAGGAAGCAGCTAAAACGGTCAGATACGACAGCCATGTGGGTCTGTCAAATCCAGCGTACAAACACAACCCGGGGAAGCATGTGCGATCAACTCCAATCCGATTTGATGTTCGGGACATACAGGACTCGTTAAAGTGTATTCCTGGAAAAGGAAATCCATTCAATTTGGACCAAGTACAGAAGACTCGAGGCTGTAAATACAAACCCTCGCCCTGGCGCTGGCACTCCCTGTGCAGTGGAACACACGGCCACCAGAAACTTTGAAAAATGCATTTCATTGACAGTTAACGTCGGAACTCTTTTCGAAAAAAAAGGTTCCTGTCACCAAAGCTGTGTGGGAAGAGCAGAGAAACAGAGAGAGCGACCGGTGAAGAGGAAAGGCGGGTTTAACATGTAGGAGAGAGAGAGAGAGAGAGAGGTGAACACGAAAGGGTAATGTATAATAATAATAATAATTATTAAAGGGAAATTTACCAAGTTACGAGTGTGAATCATTTCTCTCGGCCCCTGGGTGGGTGTGAAGCGCTGTCTCCCGGAGCAGGTCCATCAGCAGCGGCCCCAGGGCGGGCAGGTCAGTGAGGGAGAGACACAGAGTCAGCGAACCAGGGGCCGGGCTGCCAGCGCCATAACAACAGCATGTCTCCCGGGGACAGGCGGGCGGGCGGGCGGCCAGGCCCCGCGCACACACACACACACACACACACACCCGCCCGCCTCCCGCTTGTCCTCTCCCCCCACCACACACTGGCCTCCCACGGCGGTCTCCCCGCCCCGCCCCGCCCTGCCCTGCCCGGCCCGGCTCCCTCTCCCCCTCTCCCCCTCTCTCTCTCTCACGCCCTCGGGCTCTCTCTCTCTCTCTCTCTCTCGGGCTCCGCTTCCCCCTCACAAGATGGAACAAAAGGCGCCTCCTCCACTCACACCTCCGCTCCCGCGCCGCACATTCGCCACCTCTCCTTCACAGCCCCACACCTGTCGCACACCGACTCCCTTACAGGGCACTGACCAAAAATAAAAACAACCACCGGGTGTTTAAAAAAACAACTTCCGCGCGTACCATAGCCGTGTACGTCACTTTATTATTATTATTGTTAATATTTTTGCAGTTTGAGGCGAATCTGCGGAGCGCGGCCGTCCTGCAGGGTAAAGCTAAAGCTGGTTTCTCATCAGGGGCCGCACATTCCGCTCAGGGTTTGGCGGCCAAGTACTGGGAGCGAGGAATGCACAACGGGAACAGCAGCCTCAGGAAAATACCGGTTAATATTACTCGACTAGTCCGGTGCGGTGAAATTAATATTTCTTCTTTTTTGCGTGAGGGAGGCTGGATGGGTGAGGCGAATCTGTGCGGGGAGAGTCAGGCTGCAGAGGGCGGCGAGGAGGAGAGACAGAGACAGAGTCACTGTCACCAGGTGAGAGCGAGAGAGGGTCACTGAGGCGGGGAGAGAGAGAGAGTCACTGAGGGGAGAGAGGGAGAGGGTCACTGAGGGGGGGAGAGAGAGAGTCACTGAGGGGAGAGAGGGAGAGGGTCACTGAGGGGGGGAGAGAGAGAGAGCGGGTCACTGAGGGGGGGAGAGAGAGAGGGTCTCACTGAGGGGGAGAGAGGGAGAGGGTCACTGAGGGGGGAGAGAGAGAGGGTCACTGAGGGGAGAGAGGGTCACTGAGGGGGGAGAGAGAGAGAGGGCACTGAGGGGGAGAGAGGGAGAGGGTCACTGAGGGGGGAGAGAGAGGGTCACTGAGGGGGGGGAGAGAGAGAGAGAGAGGGTCACTGAGGGGAGAGAGGGTCACTGAGGGGGGAGAGAGAGAGAGGGCACTGAGGGGGGGAGAGAGAGAGGGTCTCACTGAGGGGGAGAGAGGGAGAGGGTCACTGAGGGGGGGAGAGAGAGGGTCACTGAGGGGAGAGAGGGTCATGAGGGGAGGAGGAGAGTCACTGAGGGGAGAGAGGGTCACTGAGGGGGAGAGAGAGAGAGAGAGGGGTCACTGAGGGGGAGAGAGAGAGGGCACTGAGGGGGAGAGAGAGAGGGTCACTGAGGGGAGAGAGAGAGAGGGTCACTGAGGGGGAGAGAGAGAGGGTCTCACTGAGGGAGAGAGAGGGAGAGGGTCACTGAGGGGGAGAGACAGAGAGAGAGGGTCACTGAGGGGGAGAGAGAGAGAGAGGGAGTCACTGAGGGGGAGAGAGAGAGGGTCACTGAAGGGGAGAGACAGAGAGAGAGGGTCACTGAGGGGGAGAGAGGGTCACTGAGGGGGGGAGAGAGAGAGAGAGTGGCGGTCACTGAGGGGGAGAGAGAGAGGGTCACTGAGGGGGAGAGAGAGAGGGTCACTGAGGGGGAGAGAGAGAGGGTCACTGAGGGGGAGAGAGAGAGGGTCACTGGGGGGGAGAGAGGGGGTATGAGGGGGAGAGAGAGGGGGGTGGGTCACTGAGGGGAGAGAGAGAGGGTCACTGAGGGGGGAGAGAGAGGGTCACTGAGGGGAGAGAGAGAGGGTCACTGAGGGGGGAGAGAGAGAGGGTCACTGAGGGGGGAGAGAGAGAGGGTCACTGAGGGGGGAGAGAAGAGGGTCACTGAGGGGGGAGAGAGAGAGGGTCACTGAGGGGGGAGAGAGAGAGGGTCACTGAGGGGAGAGAGAGAGGGTCACTGAAGGGGGAGAGAGAGAGAGGGTCACTGAGGGGGAGAGAGAGAGAGGGTCACTGAGGGGGAGAGAGAGAGGGGGGGTCACTGAGGGGAGAGAGAGAGGGTCACTGAGGGGAGAGAGAGAGGGTCACTGAGGGGAGAGAGAGAGGGTCACTGAGGGGGAGAGAGAGAGGGTCACTGAGGGGGGAGAGAGAGAGGGTCACTGAGGGGGGAGAGAGAGAGGGTCACTGAGGGGGGAGAGAGAGAGGGTCACTGAGGGGGGAGAGAGAGAGAGGGTCACTGAGGGGGGAGAGAGAGAGAGGGTCACTGAGGGGGGAGAGAGAGAGAGGGTCACTGAGGGGGGAGAGAGAGAGGTCACTGAGGGGGAGAGAGAGGGGGTCACTGAGGGGGGGAGAGAGAGGGTCACTGAGGGGGGGAGAGAGGGTCACTGAGGGGGGGGGAGAGAGAGGGTCACTGAGGGGGGGGTGAGAGAGAGGATCACTGAGGGGGGTGAGAGAGAGGATCACTGAGGGGGGTGAGAGAGAGGATCACTGAGGGGGGGGGAGAGAGAGGATCACTGAGGGGGGGAGAGAGAGAGGGTTACTGAGGGAGAGAGAGAGAGAGAGAGGGTCACTGAGGGAGAGAGAGAGAGAGAGGGTCACTGAGGAGGGGTGAGAGGGTCACTGAGGGGGGTGAGAGGGTCACTGAGGGGGTGAGAGGGTCACGAAGGGGGGTGAGAGGGTCACTGAGGGGGGTGAGAGGGTCACTGAGGGGGGGTGAGAGGGTCACTGAGGGGGAGTGAGAGGGTCACTGAGGGGGAGTGAGAGGGTCACTGAGGGGGGGTGAGAGGGTTGAGGGGGGGTGAGAGGGTTGAGGGGGGGGTGAGAGGGTCACTGAGGGGGGGTGAGAGGGTCACTGAGGGGGGTGAGAGGGTCACTGAGGGGGGGTGAGAGGGTCACTGAGGGGGGTGAGAGGGTCACTGAGGGGGGTGAGAGGGTCACTGAGGGGGGTGAGGGGGTCACTGAGGGGGAGAGGGGGTCACTGAGGGGGGAGAGGGGGTCACTGAGGGGGGGAGAGGGGGTCACTGAGGGGGGGAGAGGGGGTCACTGAGGGGGGGAGAGAGAACGAGAGGGTCACTGGGGGGGGCGAGAGAGAGTCACGGGGGTGGGGGTAGAGAGAGAGTGAGAGGGTCACTGAGGGGACGCGAGAGAGAGAGTCACTGTCACCAGGTGAGGGGAATGTGCGATGGTGATGGATGTCAGACAGAAGTTCAGGCTTTACAGGCTCTGTTACTTGATGCTCGTCTATAGTGACTGATGCAGAGCAAATGGTTGTCAAGTGATGTTGGATAATGGTGTGTTTGATTGCAGGTAGTGTTTAAAAGCAGTGCCAGACTTGATAAGCACTGCCTTTTAGCCTCGACCCTGTGATGAACAGACGTGTAATCAGTGTGATATGCCCCCGGGCTTATTCTCTCCCAAGTGGTGGAACCACCAGCCTCCTGGTGAGACTTTACTGTTCGCAAACCCCCCGCAGCCGAAACACCAAGACTGTGACTGAAATCACAGACACCACCCAGCTGAAATGGGTGGAGCTGGGGAAGGAGATTGGCAGAAAAACAGTCTGTCAAATACGAACCACAGTCAACGTCTTGTGGGAGAAATACGAGGAGTTTGTGGGACTGAATGAGGTGCGGAATGCACAGCTGAATGTCACTGAGGTAACTTTATGTCTTTACATGAACTTTATGAAGCAGTTCCTTATTTGTGTCGATTCTGAAGAGGTGGTCTGTAAATTTTCCTCATTAGTTAAAGAAGTAAGGACACAACTCTAATTTTTAAAGGTAAGACAAAGCTCTTTGTGCTGATCGAGGCAATGTGATTATATGCTAAGGGAACCTCTCCTATGTTTCCTTAAAGGTAATTGCTCACACCACAACGGTTTAATTGATAAACTAAAGTGGTTTTCTTAGTTGATTTTCTACATTTCTTGAAAAAAATAGGTTTCCAAATGAAAGATGATTTTAAGAATTTATCACTATTTCTGGACATTCTTAAATTTTAAGACAAAATTGCCTGACAAGCCAAGACTGGAATTTCGGGTCGAAAGTGACCAGATTAACAATTTGGTTGATGGAGCTAGGTACCAGGGCATTGGTCTGCTATACAGAGTTTGACAAGAGTTTGATCTTAAACTATAATTCCTCACCCCCATCACCCCAGTGCAGGTTACCTACTCTTGAGCTCTGTTAGCGTTCATTTGAAACTGGCCAGTACTCTCAGGTATCTGAGGGGAATTAAATTGTGAACTATGCAAGTCAAAGTCTTGACGATTAAGGTGGACAGGCATCAGGAAGCCTGGCAATGTTTCCAATAGTTTAGTAACATAGTAACGTAGGCCATTTAGCCCCTCGAGCCTGTTCCGCCATTCTATTAGATCATGGCTGATCAGTACCTCAACTCAATTTACCCGCCTTTGCCCCATATCGCTTGACATGCTGACCATCAAAACATCTATCAACCTCAGTCTTGAAAATGTGAATTGATGCAGCATCCACAACTTTTTGGAGGCGAGAGTTCCAAATTTCCACTACCCTTGTGTGAAAAAGTGCTTCCTGATTTCACTCCTAAATGTCCTTTCTCTAATTTTAAGATTATGCCCCTTGTTCTGGATTCTCCCACCCACATGAGGAAATAGTTTCTCTGTATCTACCCTATCAAATCCTTTTTTTTGTAGTTTACTTTGTATTTAGATACCCGGTTGCAAATAAAATGCCAAATAGATTATGGTAACGTGAGTAACAGCTGGGTGTCTTACAAAAGTGGAACCAAAACATGTCACCTCACCTTGTGTGGCAATGGTGTGTCAGTGCTGCACTGGTTCCTGCACTCTTTCTGGAGTTAATGAAGACAGGGAACAAACTTAGGATCTGAAGAGCAGAGTTCAGCACATTTTGCAGAGCGTTTGCTGAGCACTGGTTACTGATTGTGGTATTTCACGTCAGGCGGAAAAGGCGTTCATGGTGGCACGAGGCGTGGTCCGACAGAGCCGGGAGACCCTGGAGGGTCAGCAGGCCAAACTGAAGGAGGTTCGAGACAAGCTGGACAGGGTGTCACGGGAGGACAGCCAGTATCTGGAGCTGGCCACCCAGGAACACAAACTCCTGCAGGTCAGCAAGGAACTTCAGACATGGATGGGGATGAGGATGAGGAGGGTGATCGCTTAAAATAATAACAATAATAATAACGGGCAGATGAGACCTTGGTTCAACGACTCATCCGATAAAATTAGTCACTTGCTGCTTGCGGGACATTACTGTGCGCAACTGGCTGCTGTGTTTCGCCTACAAAAGACAAAATGGAATTTCGTCTGAAAGTAGTCAGATTAATAATTTGGTAAACAGAGCTAGGTACCAAGGCATCAGCAACAACAACTTTCACTTATCTAGCGCCCTCCACGCAGGGCAGCGTCTCAGAGCGCTTACCAGTGGTGGAGGAGTTTGATCTTTAACTATGACTCCACGGTACCACAGTACTATGATACTCCATATCACCCCAGTACAGGCTTTTTTTTACACCTTATAGCACACTCGCACTGTAGCCTTGATACTGCAACCTTCCCTTATGGTTGAGTTTCATACTTGACAGTGGCTATAAAAGTGAACTTCCTGGGGGAGGGTCTCTGTGACTGGGGAGGGTGTCTTGTGTTTTGGCTGGGAGAAGCTAAAAGTAAGTTTTCAATGATATCAGGAGGAGCGACGGCATCGAACGACGCATGAGAACGCTGAGGAACTGGAGCGTGAGACGTTCGCTCTCTTCTCAGCGGCCGTGAGGTCCAGCCATGAGAAGGAGCGGACGAGAGCAGAGAGGACAAAGAACTGGTCCATTGTGGGCTCCGTGCTGGGGGCGGTGATAGGGGTCCTGGGCTCCACTTACATCAACCACGTGCGGCTACAGGAGCTGAGGGGGCTGCTGCTGGAGGCACAGAAGGGACCGGTGAGCTTACAGGAAGCCTTGAAGGAGCAGGCGGCCATTCATCAGCTACAGAACCAGGAGCTGAACCAGCTGGTGACAAGCCTGAAGGAGTTGGCGAGTGAGGAGATGGCAGAGCAGCAGGCAGGCCGGGAGGGCACAGCGAGACAGCCATCAGAAGCCTCCCTGAGCACTGCACCGCTATTAGCTGCTGTGAGGGAGCAGGCGAGCTCTGCACAAGAGACGAGCTCCTCACTGCGGGGGTTGCAGCTCCAGGTACACGGCCTAGAGCACGTCCTGGGGACGCTGGGTTCCGATCTGACGGTGGTGAAGAAGGCCACACAAACCAGGCTGGCAGAGAGGGCCATGGCCGCGGAATCCCACCCCGGCCCGCCAACGCTCGCCCCTGAGGAACTGCTGATGGGATTGGAGGAGGTTGAGAGGAGGCTGGAGTCGCACATCAATACCAACACTGTGTACAGCACGGTGCTGACCTATACTGCGTTTGCACTCACGCTGCCCGTGATCTACGTCCTCTTTAGAGGCAGCTAAACACGACTGCACTGTGTGAGACAAGAATCCTGTGAGTGTGTGTGTCAGTGAGAGAGATTGTTGTTGTATCCTTACCATAAAGGGATGGGCTGAACAATAGAAACATCTCCATGCTGCTCTAATAAAAACCATGAAGTGAATGAGGACCAAGGCAAAGCAGATGCAGGTCGTCCCATTTCTCCCCCGCACACACACCCATTCTCCACACACACACACACTCGTATACACACGCATACACATTTGCATTTCAAAGAATTCCATCAACCCCAATATAAGCCATTGCCCAATGCTTTCAAATGGAGGGGGCTGGAAGCCTTAGTTGCTATTCTCAGCCAGGGGCTACAGAGAAGTGAATTTAGCTGCTGTGTGGTCATGTCTGAATGGCAGTATGGGAAGGGACACAGGTGTTTTATTAAGCTTGGTTCAGAATTGAAAAGATGTGCTGCTTGGTTTGCCACACCTCAGCACAGACCACAACATTCAACCAGTACTGTATAAAGGAGATGTTTCTATTTGACTGCACTGAACACCATCACTGTTGTACATTTTAGTAATTAAAAGATTAATTTTGATAATGTGTGAAGATGAGCAAATTTGAAATGAAAATGAGCGACAGACGAAGGATGTTCCAATTCTGCTTTCCCAGTGAGCTCCAGAGCCAGCTTGGTTGGTGTTGCTCTCGTCTGTGGGTGATATAATAATAATCCTTGCATTTGAAATCGTGCCTTGTCACGTCATTGAGATATCCCAAAATGCTTCACAGGATGTACTATAAAGTGAATTGACTGTATTTTGTGGGCAAAATGCAGCAGTCAATTGCGTACAGCAGTGTTCCACAAACAGTTGTTTACCAATTAACCAAATTTTTTTTGAGGAATTATTACCCCTGGAAATCTATCCGCCAATCAACTAACAACCGGGTTCCTACTTTCTGCTAGGTAACCAGAGGCATGTGGAGTAAGGAAACTTGCATAAGGTTTTGCCCTCCCTGGGGATCGAACCTGGGTCTTCTGGCTTGCGAGGCGAGTGCTCAAACCAATATGCTAAAGGACTCCATGAATAGTTTAAGCTCCACGCTGAGATTCTGAGCTCACCCTGATGCTGAGTGCAGTTGCTGGAGAAGGGGTATGGCCGCTGCAATGTCAGGTGCTGTCCTTCGTGCGAAACGTTAAAGCGAGATCCTGTCTCCTTTGAAAAAGAATGGGATTTCTTTTGGCACCAATCCAGATAGTTTCACCTGTCTATGTCTGAGACTGCGCTGTGCAAATTGGCTACCACGAATGCTGACAAATACACAGTCACTACACCTGAGCGTAACCACTGTGATGTTTTTTGAGCTGCTTCAGTTACAGGCGGTAGATTAAATGCAAGCATTATCATCAGGGTGTTAACTGCATTATATCTGGGTAATAATAGCAATAACTCTTATATTTGGTACTGTGCCTTTCAAGTCAGGACATCTCAAAGCGCTTCACAAGATTTACTGTAAAGTGGATAGACTCATTTTTGTAGGTGATCACGGTTCACTGAGTTACTAATGCTACCTTGGCCTGGTTACCAATCCTTGCCTCTCCTTTCCTATAGTTCAGGACTATTATTTTAGTGCATGGTCATTCTCTGATCCTTACCTCTCTGCCTCAGTCAAATGCTGAGTTAGCCAATCCCAATTGAAAGTGCCCCCTGAGTTAGGAAAAATAAAGCAATTGGCCTGGTTACCTGCTCTTGATAGCTACTCAGATCTTGACAGGAAAGTGGGAATGTTTCCTGAGCACAGGGTTACATGTGCATTCATTTCATGCCAGAAAGGAGGTGGGGGCTAATGTATAGTCCTAGCAGAATGTGCTGAGTGTTATATATCACATTTAACCCTTTGTGTTTACTTTCAGCAGCTTGTAGCCAGCATTCACAGAGTTACCTTGTTAGTGTTATGTATCGTAAGCACTTTCTCATTCTTCTGAGTAAAACTGCTTTGACAGTCAAATGCTGAGTTAGCTGATCCCAATTGAAAGTGCCCCCTGGGTTAAGAAAGATAAAGCAAATGGATTCATTTCATGCCAGGAAGGGGGTGGGGGCTAATTTATAGTGCTTTGTGTGGAGGGATATGCACGGGTGTGTTCAGAGATCTGTGGAGGGAGGGGATCCATACACAGCAGGTTTGTACAGAGATAATAAAACAATGATTCTTGCATTTGAAGTAGCAACTTATCAGATCGTTGAGATGTCTCAAAGTGCTTCTCAAGATTTACTGCGAAGTGGATATTTTTATATGAAGGGGGCAGCCAATTTTGCTCACAGCATTGCGCCACAGACAACCATGAAATCAATGACCAACTTTATTTGGGGGATATAATATATTTATAATGGGAGAAACTCCCGTCTTTTTTCAAATTGTGCCATATCCACCTTTAATGTTCACCTGAAACCTGACGGGACCTCAGGTTAACATCTCATCCAAAACATGGCACCTCTGACAATTTAGTAATCTCCCAGCACTGCACTAAAATGTCAGCCTGGAGTCCCGACATGGAGTTGGAACCCACAACCTTCTGAGTCGGAGGCTAAAGTGTTACTGACCGAGCCAGGCTGACATCAGGGATGGGATAATGGGGTGTGTGCACTGAGATCTGCGGAGGGATTTCCACGTATCTGCTCAGTGCTCCCTGTTGTCTGCGCGTGAAGTGCAATAAGATTAATCCTACGTGAAAAGCGCAAGTTGTGCACAATTACAATGGAGCCCTCTCATGGAATAATGTGGTAACGCATGTGGCAGGAGCTTCCCTGAGGAAGAGGAGAGGTATCCAGGAAACTGTTCACATCCCCCCTCCCACCTCCACACACATCCACACACAACTGGTGTGTTTGTGTGTGTGGGGGGTAGACACCCACCATTACACAAGTCAGAAATGTGAAATAAGGCCATCTGATCCTTGTCATTGTGATCACAAGTATCAGATGCAATTCCTTTAGTTTCATCTAAAATCTCAGAAAGCTGTTTCACACTTGTCCAGTTTCCCCTGTTGAAATGACCCAGTTGCTTACCCCAGAAAACTGGACAAGTATCTGAGCAGTTAAATGAGGCAAAATAATTCTTGCATTTGATAAAGGAGTCCTGTAGCTCTGGTTAAAGCGCTCGCCTCACAAACGATCGACCTGGGCTCGATTCCCAGCAGGGTGAAACGTTGGGCATGTTTCCTTACTCCACACGCCTGTTTACATAGCAGTAAGTAGGACCCAGTTGTTAGTTGATTGGCAGATTGCTTTTCCGGGTGTAATAATTCCTTCAAAAATAAGAATACATTTTTCATTGAATCCACAACTGTTTGTGGGACACTGCTGTGCACAATTGGCTGCTGTATTTCACCCACAAAATAGACAGTCAAATCACTTGACAGTATATTCTGTGAAGCACTTTGAGATGTCTTGAAGATATAAGGTGCTATATCAAATGCAAGTATTATATTGTTAAAGCTCTTAGAATGTCACAGTGAGGTGTTTACTGGGCAGTGACTATTTTGTAGGTGAATGCAACATCCAATTAGGTTTTTTTTGGTCAGCAGGGGTCTGACACACGTGGAATTGGAGTTCAGCTCCAAGAAGACTCCCTACACCCTTCTCTTTTCAAATGCCACCATTGCAGATGGGACCTCCGTTTAAAATCTTATATGGAACAAAAAGACACAGGAAGGGGGAGATTGGCAGGGGAAATTTGCAGAAAGAATTGCAGAAAGCGAAGTGGCTGAAAGCTTGCTCACTAATGGTGAGGTGGAGTATATAGTGCAGCCAGCCTGCCTTGTCAGCAGGACTTGGGGGCCAGATCAGTCACAAGTGGCAGAGATTCTTCCCACTCAGCTTCTGATAACCCTGCAAACCAAATGTGAAAGGTGCTGTATAAATATAAAATTACATTGTGTATCCATATTAACTTTCAAGAAGAAACTAGAGAGATATCTAACAATAAGCAATTTGCAGAGTTTTGGGGTGAGGTGATTGAGTGGGAAGGCAGATAAATGGATGAGTTCAGCTTGTGAAGGATGACTGACTATAAACTAATCTCCAAATGTTTATTAAAGTTGGTTGCAGCACCAGAACATATAACATGACCATAATACAGGACACAGGCAGAGCAGTTACTGAAGGAAAGAGGAAGCAATTCCTGGAGTCAGTTACATCCTCAAATGTTACAGGTGTGGCCGCTCGTACCAGATACAAACCTTTCCCATCAGTGGCTGTACTGATGGGTTGTGGCTGGTTACTACAGGTGAAGATTGAGCTGATGTTATTACAAACTTTACGTCCTTTGCGCTCATTGATCCAAGTGTGCATACAGTCAGACAGTTTACTGTGTTTTGCTCACAATCACTGCTTTGTTAAATACAATACAAGCTTGTGACACTGGCTGTGTGGTGTAGAGAGTTACACCAATGGCTGTGTGTGTGTAGAGAGTTACACACTTGCTGTGTGGTGTTGAGAGTTACACCAATGGCTGTGTGTGTGTGTAGAGAGTTACACCGATGGCTGTGTTTGTGTGTGTAGAGAGAGTTACACACTGGCTGTGTCTGTGTAGAATCTGGAATGAATGAGGAAGCCCTGCCCATCACTAGCACTCCTCACGTCACACAGGTAAACTCAGCCCATCAGGTTGCCATTTGTCTGGGATTCCCGGGGTCAAAGGTTGTGATCTCCAGGTGAAGAAGACCTACAATACAAAAGCTCAGCTTTAAAAGTGGAAATGCAAGTTTACAATAAAATGCCCATTATGGCAGTTCAGGCTTGCTACACAGCTCAAATCAAGCCTGGATCCTGTACCAGTTGAATGCTCCTAGCAATTTGCTGGCGGCTGTGAACATCCAACCTGTGGCCAAACACAGACTTAGATTTCAAATTAACATTACAATACCATCAAAAAGCCATTTATCTGTTTTTTTCAGATCGGGCAGCCACGAGTTATGTGTTATCAGGCTATCTCTACCAGCTGCAAAAGAACTTCTGGACTCAGGTAGAGGGAAGAGACAACCTCTGGGCCAGTGACTATAATAATAATCCTTGCATTGGATATAACGCCTTCGCACATCGTCATAGTGTCTTAAAACGCTTCACAGTAAAGTGGAGTGACTAATTTCTGGGTGAAATGTGGCAGCCAGTTTGTGCAGAGCAATGGCCCACATACAGCCATGGAGTGAGTGACCAGTTTTATTTGAGGGATTGTTGGCCAGGACACCGGGATAGAGAAACTCCCTTCTTTTTTTAAATAGCGCTGTGGGTTCTTTAACGTCTACCTGAACAAGCAGACAGGACATTGGTTTAACATCTCATCCAAAGGACAAGATGTTAAACCATATAGAGGGGGGTGACCAGTGACCATAGAGAACCTGCTGTTTACATGGTGTTTACTGGATCAAGCTGCCTGTCTACACAGCACATGGACACCAGGCAGGGGTGGAATTCCTTTGAATTGATTCCTGCTACTTACTTTTCCAGTCCTCCACATTCAGGTTCAGACTCTCGAAGGAATCATCGTAGGGTTCGGCTACGGGCTCACTGTCGGGATCATGGTGCTCGCTCAGGTACACGTGGGCCAGTGCATCGCTTGCCGTTACTCTCTTGTCAGGATCCAGATGCAACATTTTTTCCAGCAGATCCACAGCTGGAGGGAGGGACAAAGGGAGTGAATGTGGGAGGAAGGGAGGGAATGAGTGAGCGAGGTAAAGAGGAAGGGAGGGAGACTCAAGGTCAGGTAAGTCATTCGTGGGCACCCCAGCTCTGGATACACATCAGGGATCTGAACTCCATAAAATGTCCTGCAGTTTCTCCCTTTGTCGACATTAACACTTTTCCCACTTACCTTTGATAATGGTTCTCTCCATTTCATAATATTAATCATTAAATAATAATCCTGCCAAAGCACAATGTAGGCCCTAAGAGTGGCCTCTGTTTTCTTTCAAATTAACATTTAATATTTATTTCCTCTGGTTAATACAGCAAAGAGGGATTGGGTAGAAATTGGGCAGAGGCTCTTCCTCATCAGGTCATCCATTGAAATAAATACAGTGAACTCCTGAAAATGTGTCACTCCAAGGGAAAAGGGCTCAGTGATGAGTTATCTAAGGGAGGAGACAACCTTTGGGTTACACTGACCAGTGGTTATAATAACAATATTAATCCTTGCATTTGATATAGCGCCTTATCATGTCATTGTGCTTTATCATCTCAAAGCGCTTCATAGGTTATATTGTAAAATGGATTATATATGTATTTTGTTGGCGAAATGCATAGCTATTTGCACACAGCAATGTCCCACAAACATTCATGGGTTGAGTAAAAAATTTTTAAAAAGTGGATATTTATCCGCAAATCAAATGACAACATGTTCCTACTTACTGCTAGTTAAACAGAGGCGTATGGCGTAAGAGAATTTGCCTATGGTTTTGCCCTGCCTGGGAATCAAATCCGGTTCCTCTCGTTTGTGAGGTCAGTGCGCTAACCAATCCGCTATGGGATTCCACTTGTAGTATATTGCAAAGCACAGTATACTCTTTTCATTGTGAGTTGACAGCTTCTTTTGCCTGATGCTTTTCACCATCAGCAAACTGGTCAAGGTTAATATCCCACTCATTGTGCTCACTCTCCTAACTGCAGCCAGCACTGAGCACAGGGCAGTTGACTGGAAAGGAGACGAGGAACAGATGGAGCTGACAGTCAGTCACTGACTCTTCCTCCACCACTGCTCACTGTCTGTTACCTGCCCTCCCCCCCCACCCCCACCCGACATACATACAATCCCCCATACCTTGCTTTTTCATTGTGGGGAACACCTGCTGAAAATGTTTTTTCTCCCGCGGGGGCAGGGCACTGATGTAGTCTCTGGCCTGTGCAGGAGGCGTGAATGAGAGATGTTCAGCCACAATCATGGTTACTCAGCAACAGTGCAGCAAAACACCAGTGTCAGTCAGTCCGGGGGCCACGGGCGGGAGGTGGGAGGGGCGCAGCAGTGTGGCAGTGAGCGAATGACTCAGGTTACTGTAGCTTTAAGTATCTAACACAGGTAAGCTGGGTCTCCTTGGAGCTGAACTGGCAATGGAATGTCAGAATCAAGCCAGTCCTCTGTGGCGGTCTCTAATCCAGTTCCTGAGCCGGGCAGGTCCGCAGTATTCCAGGGCACTGCTGATCACAGCACAGATGGCCATCTGGCTCATCGGCAGGACCTGCAAGGGCAGACCAGTCACTGAGGGCAGGGACTCTTCACACTCCGCTCCTGTTAAGTCTGTAAGCCAAAGCCCTAAAGGTTAGGTGGTCCCAGCTGGACAAGCAGCAGCAAAGCTTGCCAGACAGTGCTATTTGGCAAGATATGCAGTTTTAGCTGATTAAAACTCCAGCAGCTACCCCAGAGCACACACTGGGGTCCCTAAGCCTTGGCTCTTGCCAACCTGTGCCTAATACTTTCTGAAATTAGGTAAGCAGGATGCGTCCCTCCAGGAAGAGAATGTGTATTCCATTCCAAAATTTATCTCTAGAATTTCTGTGTAGGTGGGATGAATGAAATTCTCAGTTTGGTTTGGATATTCTTAAGCATTGTGATGGGTTTCTGCATGTGTCAGACACCCGGCTGAGTTATACATACATCCTTGCTCTGCATCTTGTCAATGAGGTATTGTGGCGGCTTCCCCGTCACATCCAAGATCTTTTTCAGCTGATCAAAATCTGTAGAGGAGAGTTAAGGATGCCTCACTCACTATGTGCTGGCCATTGAGCACATTTGTTAAGTAAGCAGGTGGTCACCCCCTTACAGGCCGCTCATATCCCCAGAGCCTAGCTCTCAGCTGGTCTGCAAGCCAGAGCCAGATAATAAATTGAGGTTTTCAATTAATAATGAATAATATTTATAATCCTTGCATTCGATATAGCGCCTTATCACGTCGTTGCAATGTCTCAAAGCGCTTCACAGAATATATTGTAAAGTGCATTGACCATATATTTTGTGGGCAAAACAGGGAAGGTGGAAGGAATCCAATGGTGCAAGAAGGGGCATAGACATCTCAAAGCGTTTCACAGAATTTATTATAAAGTGCAGTGACTGTATTTTATGGGTGAAACACTGCATAGCAATGTCCCACAAACATCCATGGAGTGAGTGACCAATTTTATTTTGGGGGATTGTTGGCCAGGACACCAGGAGAATCTCCCTTCTCTTTCCGAATAGTGCCACGGGATCTTTAACGTCCACCTGAAACAGGTAGATGGGACTTCGGTTTAAACATCCCATTTTAAGGATATACTTCCAATAATGCTGCACTTCCCCCAGCTCTGCATTGAAGAGCCAGCTTAGACTATGTGATTCCAAGTCCTGACGTTGCGCTTGAACCCACAGCCTTCTGACTCAGAGTTGGAAGTGCTAGCAGACTTAGGAATAGAGAGCTGGAATGTGGAGCAGTCTAACTTCAGTGAGTTCCTAGCATTCTTCGAACACACTGAGGGCTAGCAGCACCACAAACACCACAGATAATGGTTCGTGATGAGCAATGTTTCCGGTGGAGATGGTTGGGGTTGACTTGTGGATGAGCCTTTTGAAAGTGAAATGAATCAGCTCCTGGTTTCAGTATAACTTGAATCAAACATTTTGGTTTTGAAAGAGAAGGAGCAGCTCCCATCATTGGGCTACACTCTGAGAGCGCTCACTCAACATGGAAGGAATCTTGCTGAAAGGAACTTTAAGGGACGACCGTTGCTACTATTACGAAAGGATACGGTCAGATCCTGGGAAGAGAACCCGGCTAGTGGCCATCTCAGCCAGGATGCATCCCACCGACCAGATGTCCACTGCAAGAGAAGGGAGGAGTTACTCAATGTAAAGTCACTCAACGTAATAAACTCAACCCAAACCTGCTGGAGATTAGTCTGCAGTTAGATAAGTGCTGTACACTGTCCAGCGCCTTGGGACGTCCTCCCGACGTGAAAGATTACAAATATAATCTCGTTGTTGTTGCATTCTCACACATTACACAATTCCACTGGACACTAAGCGATGCCCATGGCTAGTGATTTTCCGGAATGTGGACACATTTGAAACATCTCATCTTGGAACCTAAGAAGACCTCATTTACCTTCCCCTCCACCCACCCCCACCTCCAAAGGATAGTAATTAGTTGGTCAAAACACAAAATAGTGGTGGAAATCTGAAACAAAAATGGAAGTCGCTGGGAACACTCAGCAGGTCAGGCAGCATCTATGGAGAAAGGGAAGTGAGTCAACGTTGATTCACTTTCTCCATAGATGCTGCCTGACCTGCTGAGTGTTCCCAGCGATTTCTGTCATTAGTTGGTCATTTGACAGTCTAAGGGCCAGTTTAAGCCTTTGTGTCCATACCACCGTGGAGAGAGATTAACGCAGGAGGCAGTAATTGCACACCAAAGATCTAGATTGTTACATAGGAATTACAAATACAAATGTATATTTATACAATGCTTTTCATGTTGTGAGGATGTCCCAAGAGCCCTATCGTGGCACCCGAGCTGAAGGTGAGGGTTGAGATTGTGGGAGCAGAGAGGACTACAGTACAGAAACAGGCCATTCACCCATCAGGTCTGTGCTATTCCTCCTCTTCAAACTGCTCTCTGTTCCTTTTAACAACAATTTACTGACTGCTTGAACTCTGTTTTTTGGCTGAGAATTCCATGTTCTCAGAAAGAAATATTTTCTCCCCTCCCCTTTAATTCTATTTCAAATAATCTTAAATCCTCTCACTGACTCGCTAACCTGTCTTGATAATCTGGTACTGTTCAGCCTATCACAACTTTAATATTCTCACACCATATTATTCTCAGCCTGAGTGCAAAATGTCAACTCCAGTGCAAAAGAGACTTTCAGATTCTTAGTAATATAAAAGTAACCCTTGTATTTGATAGAACGCCTTCAGGAAGACATCTCAAAGCACTTCACAGGATTTTACCGTATTTTTAGGTGAATGTCAGTTTGTGCCACAGAAAGCCATGGAGTGAAAGACCAATTTTATTTGGGGGATTGTTGGCCAGGATACTAGGAGAGAAAAACTCCCTTCTCTTTTCAAATAGTGCTAATGGGATCTTTAATGTTCACCTGAAAAGGGACCTTCGTTTAATTTCATATCCAAAGAACAGGACCTCCAACAATGCAGCATACCCCCAGCACTGCATTGGAGCATCAGCTTAGCCAAAATATGTGATGGAAGTCCAGACATGGGGCTTGAATCTACAACCTTCTGACTTTGAGACGAGAGCTCTACCATCGCACCAGGCTGGCACATAAACAGAGGAATGTGCAGCAGCAGAAAACCCATCCCAAAATTCTAAACACCAGCCGCTCCTGATCTCTGGTACCTTCTCTGCTAAACTATCTACCTGGATGGCAGCTGAGATGGTAGCTGGAGGGCATTAATTTCAGATCATCAATAAAGGGAGAGGTTGGAGAATGTTTGTACGCTGAGCATTAGGAAGTGGAATGCAGTAAAAAAAACAGTGGTTGAAGCAGAATGCATAAAAGCTTTGAATCCAGGTCTCAGCAACAATAGATGGCTGCAAATGAAGAGATCACAAAAACCTGGACTGGTTTTGTTGGCCACTATTTTGAAATCATTAATTTTGGTTCCGTCTAACTTGTCATATGAGGAATTAGCCTCCTCCCCACATTACCCCCCACCACCCCCACCCGTCACTACTGCATTCTGGTGATTCACTGTTTATGGAACACAGCACCTCGGGCGTTGCAGCATCAGCCTCCACGGCTGCACACTCAACCTCACTAAGCCAGTCAGGAACCTGGGTATCTTGTTTGACCCTGAACTGTCCTTTCTTCCCCACATCCGCGCCATGACCGGCACTGCCTACCACCACCTCCGCAACATTGCCAGATTCCACCACTGCCTCATTCCCTCAGGCTGCTGAAACCCTCACCCATGCATTTGTCACCTCAAGGCTTGAATACGGGAACTCCCTCCTCATCGGCCTTCCCAACTCTTCCCTTCACAAGCTGCAGATCATCCAAAACTCTGCAGCTCGTGTACTCTCATGCACCAGGTTCCGTGATCCCATCACTCCCACCCTCACCCGACTCCACTGGCTCCCCATCCCCCAGAGGATCGAGTTCAGATCCTCGTCCTCACCTTTAAGGCCATCCATGGCCTTGCCCCCTCCTATCTCTCTGACCTGCTGACTCCCTAACAACCTGCCCACTCCCTCCGTTCAGCGGGCTCCGGCCTGCGCCATGTCTCCCGCCCGACCCGCCCTGCCATCGGTAGCCGGGCTTTCAGCCTCTCTGCCTCACACTCTGGAACTCCACCCCAAGGTCCCTTCGCCTCGCTTCCTCCCTTGCCTCCTTCAAGGCTGGTCTCAAGACCCTTTTGTTCGACCGTGCCTTTGGTCTGCCTCCCACCTCTCCCCTTACCTCACCCCTACCCACCCCTCCCCCATGCTCAGGGCTCGACACCTAACTGTTCAGCACTTTGGGATGTCCTCCTGATGTGAAAGGTGCTCTATAAATGTAATTTTGTTGTTTTTGTTGTTGCTGTGTATAAACTGGCTGCCGTGTTTCACCCACAATACACATGACACCATTTTACGGCATATCCTGTGAAGCGCTTTGAGATGCCTTGGCTACGTGATAAGGTGCTATAACTAATAAAAATAATCCTTGCATTTGATATGGCGCCTTATCACTTCGTTGAGACGTCTCAAAGTGCTTCACAGAATATACCGTAAAGTGAATTGACTGTATATTTTGTGGGCGAAACGCAGCAGCCAATTGCACACATCAAGGATTATTATTTTATTAGTTTACATCCCAGAAATGTGACATCATTCTCTCCTCATCCAAATTCCAACCATCTCATTACTGTTTATGGGATCTCAAACAATCATCTGATCGAAATTCCACCCGTCTAGATTTACTTTACTAATGTAGCGTTTTGGAGCATCTAAATTTTGAATACTTAACTTTGAAGTTGGTTTCCTGTAGCTCTCAAAATAGAATTTGGAGAAAACTGGCTTCAAAATAAACAGAGGAAATCCAGAGCCAGGGGAGTTTCCTTCAACCAGTGTCCTGGCCAACAATCACCAATAAGAGATTGATGGGGCAGATTAATTTTGTGTTGTATGAGCTGTCGTGTTTGCCACCATAATAACATTAATTTCCAATTCATCTCTTTTTTAAAAAAACTTGAAAAGCGCTACTACATGAATCTGTGTAAACGTGCTTTCTCAAACTATGTCTGCCTCAGTCGGTAGCACTCTCGCCCCAAAGTTTGAATTGAGTCAGAAGGTTTCGAGTTTGTGCTAGGACTTGCATATAATCCAGGCTCACACTTCAGCAGAGCTGGGGGGCCGGGGAGAGGGAAGAGTTTCTGTCCTTCAGATTAGATGTTAAACTGAGGTCCCGCTTGCCTGTTCAGGAGGATGTTAAAGATTCCACGGCACTATTCGAAAGAAAAAGAGAGTTTCTCTCACTGCGCTGACCAATAATTCCATGGATAAAACTGGTCATTCACTTCATGACTGTTTCTGGGACATTACTGGGACACCACGTACACCCACAAACAATAATTATAATAATAATCCTTGCTTTTGATATCACATCATTGAGACATCTCAAAGCGCTTTACAGAATATACTGTAAAATGAATTGACTGCATATTTTGTGGGCGAAACACAGCAGCCAATTGCACACAGCAGTGTCCCACAAACAGTTGTGGATTGAGTGACCTTTGAAATATCAGACCCCCACCTGCATGGGTGTAGTGCATCCAGTTGAGAATAACCTCAGGGGACCTGTACCAGCGGGTGACAACATAGCCTGTCATCTCGGCCTCTGTGTGACGTGCCAATCCAAAGTCTAAGATCTGCAAACAAATTAAAGAACTGATTCTCAGAATGTTGTAAAAGCTTACAATATCACAGCATATCTCCCATCCTGAGCCTTGACAATAGTACAGACTAGCAGAATCCCCAATTACAGTTCCTTTTATGGAATTATTGAAACAAGTATTCCAAAGACCGAGGTCAAGGAAGCTAGCATAGTAATGTTTGGCAGGTGGACAGGAGACACCAGCCAATTACAGAATAGAATGTTACTTAATTCACAAATTTGCAATTTTCTTAAAGTCTGTTCCTTGTGCTAATTAGTGGAGTCCTGTAGCTCAGTGGTTAGAGCATTTGCCTCGCAAGCGAGACATGGGTTTGATTCCCGGCAGGATGAAATGTTGGGCAAGTTTCCTTACTCCACATGCCTCTGTTTACCTAGCAGTAAGTAGGAACCCGGTTGTTAGTGGATTGGTGGATCGCTTTTCTGGGAGTAAAAATTCCTTCAAAAAAAAATTGGTCACTTCAATCCATGATTGGGTTTCTGTTGTTGTTGTAGTTAAAGCGTTGTTGTTGTTGTTGTAGTTAAAGCTCATAGCTAAAACCCAAGCTTCCCATTGGCTTGATGATGTCCAGACAGTGGGGGAGATGGATGCCTACCTTTAATTCACAATTCTGGTTCACGGCCAGATTACCAGGTTTCAGATCCTGCAAGAAAGAAAAAAAATGTCAATGCAACAATTTTACTCATTTTTAATTTAGGGCACCAGAAGTCTGAAATTCCATTTAATCTTAGTCTGTAAGCCATTTTGCCCATAGATTTAAGATCGTACAATATTGCGGAAAATTCTTAAATGCAATTATAATTTGGAAGNTTTTTTGCGACAGTTAAAATTAACCAGTTTCTAAATTAATCCTTGTATTTGATATAGCGCCTTATCACGTCTTCGAAGCATCTCAAAGCACTTCACAGAATATACTGTAAAGTGAATTGACTGTATATTTTGTTGGCGAAACGCGGCAGCCAATTTCGCACAGCAGTGTCCCACAAACAGTCATGAAGTGAGTGACCAATCATATTTGAGGGATTGTTGGCCAGAACACAGAAAAAAACTCCCTTCTATTTTTGAAAAGTGCCACAGGATTTTCTAAAGTACACCTGAACAGGCAGATAGGACTTCATTTTAAAATCTCATCTGAAGGATGGCACCTCTGACATTGCAGAGCACCACCCAGCACTACACTGGAGAGTCATGCTAGACTAAGACTGAATTTAAGCATTTTCCACAGTTCTGCACAATCATACGTTTAGGACAAAATATTGTCCATCCTTCAGATGAGATGTTAAACCAAGGCCCTCTCTGCCTGTTCAGTTGGACATTAAAGATCTAATGGCACTATTCAAAAGAGAAGGGATTTTCTCTTTCCCAGTGTCCTGGCCCTCAAAACAAAATAAAATACTCACTCCATGGTTGTTTGTGGGACACTGTTGTGCGCAACTCGCTGCTATGTTTCGCCCACAAAATACAGTCTTTTTTACACTACATCCTGTGAAGACTTTGAGACATCTCGCTGATGTGAAAGGCGCTCTATCAAATGCAAGGATTATTATTATAATAATAGCCAACTCCTCCCTCCATAGTTTGCAGATCATCCAGAATTCTGCAGTCTGTGTCCTCTCCTGCACCAGGCTCCACGACCCTATCACCCCCATCCTTGCCCGACTCAACTGGCTTCCCATCACACATGGGATACAGTTCAAGATCCTGGTCCTCACTTTCAAAGCCCTCCATGGCCTTGCTTCCCACTACCTCTGTGACTTCTTAACCCCCTACTAACCTGCCCACTCCCTCCGCTCAGCGGGCTCCAGCCTGCTTTATGCCCCCACCATTGCCGGGCAGGCCTTCAGCCACTCTGGAACTTCATCCCGCAGTTCCTTCGCATCGCTCTCACCCTCCCTTGCCTCCTTCAAGACCTCTTTGACCGTGTCTTCATCACCCTCCTTCCCCCCCTGCCCTCCACCCTTCTCAATCCCGCCCCCTAGCTCGAGTCCGAAACACTGATTATCCAGCGCCTTGGGACGTCCTCCCAACGTGAAAGGCGCAATACAAATGTAATATTTGTTGTTGTTGTGATGGTTTGTCATCTTAGGCTGCAACATTTCTCCTTCCCTTGTCCCTCCAAACCCCACTCCTCCCACCCCAACAAACACACTCCTCCTCCCTCATTCCCTCCAACCAGATTACAGATACTTTACACACATTGGGTAAACAGTGATGACAGAGCATGTCTTACCCTGTGCACAATCCCAGCAGAGTGGATGTACTGTGGGAGAAACCAGACACAGGATCAGTGAGTATCATCACAGTAGCTCACACACCAACACAAAAGTGACTATAGATCGAGGGCAACGGTCAGCAGCTACAGCTTGGAATGCCATTGAGTGAACCTCACATCACACAGGCACCACTGAATCATGTGGACAAATGAGGATGGATTCCATGTAGGAAAGGCTCTGTACCAAATACAAGCATTATAAGACCAGGGGAAATCTTCTGCTCCTCTTAGTTCTCCACCCCAAACCAGTACACACAGAATTGGGTGGGGAGCTGGAATGCTGTCGCTGTACTAATGAGACTATCTTTGTTTATGCAAATACTGGGCAAGATTAGAGAACCATAGTGTCCTGCTATTGGTGGGCTTTCTGATCCGACATGGACATCGATGATCATTTTTATTACGCAACCTGCAACTTGTCTCCAAACCAAACTACTGAGAGTTTCACTCTGGAATTGTCCCCGTTTCCAGAATGGAATATGCACCTCTTTCCTGGAGCTCGTCACTGCAGTAAAGAATGATTGATAACAAAAACAACAACTTGGATTTATATGGCGCCCTCCACTCTGGACGGAGTCTCAGAGCGCTTCACAATAATGGATCCCGGGGCCGAGCAACTTTACAACACAGAAGAAGGCCATTCAGCCCATTTTAGCTTAATCCCTGTTGAAGCTCTACTCAACTTCCCCTGCTAACTTCTTACATTAATAATTCAATTTGATACAATGCCTTATAAGAACATAAGGATTTGCTAGTCAAAAGAAGACCAAGGTCCATCCAGTTTGGCTTCAACCATCCTGGCAGTCACTTGCACATGTCATGTCCCAGACTAAATATTAAGCGCTATATCAAATGCAAGGATTATTATTATTATTATCCTGAGATATTATTTCCTAACAGAAATCTATCTAATTTGTTTTTGAAAGAATCAACACTTTCTGCTTCCACCGCCTTCCTAAGGAGCCCGTTCCATACATTTTATTACTTTTTCACTGAAGTAGTAATCCTGCAGATTTGTTCTGACTTTAACCCCCTTCAATTGCAGGCCATTTCATTATTTTATTAAAATCTCAAAGCACTTCATAAGATCTACTCTAAAGTTTAATGTAAAGTGTTAAGCGTAGTGATTCCGTATTTATAGGTGAATGTCAATTTACGCACAGCAATGTACCCCAAATAACCATGTTTAGACCACATTTGGAGTATTATGTTCATGTCGCCCAGATCTTGAGGGGTCCTAATAGAGATGTTTAAAATTATAAAAGGGTTTGATAAAGTTAGCGTAATATAATAATAATCCTAGCATTTGATGTAGCGGCTTTTCACCTCTTCGAGACGTCTCAAAGCGCTTCACTGAATATACTGTAAAGTGAATTGACTGTATATTTTGTAGGCAAAATGCAGCAGCCAATTGTGCACAGCAGTGTTCCACAAAGAGTCGTGGATTGAGTGACAAAATTATTGTTAATACATTTCTTGAAGGGATCGTTATCCCAGAAAAGTGATCCACCAATCGACTAACAACTGGGTTCCTACTTACTGCAAGGTAAACAGGAGCAGTGAGTAAGGAAACTTGCCCATTGTTTTGCCCTGCCCAGGAATCAAACCGCTTGCGAGGCGAGTGCTCTAACCACTAAGCTGCAGGACTCCACATAATAGGCTGCCCTTGTTGGGTAGTGAGTAACCAAGGGACACAACCTTCTGACTCAGAGGCAAGAATGCTGCCATGAGTTCAGAGTAAGTAATTCTGCTGACTGTTAATTCAAGCTCTACGTCAGGATGTTGGGCTCGTTGTCTATGCTGACACTCCAGTACAGTGCTGAGGGAACTGAGGTCTTCTTTGCTCGTTCAGATGGATTAAAGATCACACTATTCATAAAGAGGCCCTGTCTGTTTGTTCAGGTGGACATTAAAGATCTCATAGCACAAGTCAAAAAGAAGAGTTTCTCCTGGTGTCCTGGCCAAGATTCCCCTAGATAAAATTGGCCATTCACTCATGGCTCTTTGTGGGACTTTGCTGTGTGGGAATTAGTTGTTCATGCTTACCTTCAAATACAGTAATTGCACCGCATAGCAATTTCCCTGTGAAGCACTTGCTGACATTTCAACATAATAATAATAATCCTTGCATTTGATATAGCGCTTTTCACATCTTCCAGAACGCAGCAGCCAATTGCCCACAGCAATGTCCCACAAACAGTGCTCTTGTGGAGTCCTGTAGCTCAGTGGTTAGAGCACTCACTTTGCAAGCAGGAGACCTGAGTTCAATTCCAGACAGGGCGAAACCTTGGGCAAGTTTCATTACTCCACACGCCTAATAATAATCCCTTCAAAAAAACAAAGCAATAATAAATTGGTCATTTTCAATCCATGACTGTTTGTGGGACATTGCTGTGCGCAATTGTCTGCCGCGTTCGCCCACAAATATACAGTCAATTCACTTTACAGTATATTCTGTGAAGCACTTTGAGACATCGAGAAGACGTGAAAAGCGCTATATCAAATGCAAGGATTATTATTATTATTATTATAACCACTGAGCTACAGGACTCCGAACATATAGTATCAAATGCAAGGATTCTTCTTCTTGTTGCATACAGCATTTAGTTTCTCGTTAAGAACATAAGAATTTGCTGGTGATAGAAGACCAAGGTCCATTTAGTTCGCCTTCCATCATCCTGGCTGTCGCTTGGCATGTCGTAACCCAAACTATATGCTGATTCCTGAGATATTATTTTCTAGCAGAAATGTATCTAATTTGTTCTTGAAACAAACAATATTTTCTGCTTACACTGTCTCCCTAGCAGTTTACTACTCACTCACTGAAGTAGTGTCTTCACAGAATTGTTCTGAATTTACCCCCCTTCAATCGCAGGCCGTATCCTCTGGTTCTATTGTTCAGTACAGATAAAACAGCTTATCATTATCTCGTCCTTTCAGAATCTTAAAGACCATAACCATATCGCCCCTCAACCTCCTCTTCTCCCGTGTGAACATGCCCAGTTTATTACCTAATTGCTCCTCATAGTCCAGTCCCTCCAGCCCCTCAATCATGTTGGTTGCCCTCCTCTGTATCCTCTCAATCACCGCAATATCCTTTTTATATTGCAGTGACCAGAACTGCACACAGTATTCCAAGTGTGGTCTCACCAGTGATTTATAAATTGCCAGGTTACCCCACTATTTCAGCTTAATATTGCACTTTTAATACAACCCAGCATCTGGTTTGCCTTCCACACTGCTACCAAGCACTGTTGCGATAACTTCCATTTATTGTCAATCAGAAGACCCTCAGATCCTTATAATTTTCCATACAGATTATTTTCTTCCCATTTAAATAAAAGTCCGTTGCTTTTTGTTCCCACGTGATGCACTTTGCATTTCTCAACATTGAATTTCATCTGCCATCGATCTGCCCAATTCCAAGTATGTTCAGGTCCTCCTGTAACCTATCCTGTTCATCTTTGCAGTCTACCACCTACATTAGCTTTGTGTCATCTGCAAATTTAGCCACTGTGCTTGTGACTCCTAGCTCCAGATCATTTATGAAGATGTTAAATAAAAGAGGTCCCAAAACAGACCCCTGTGGAACTCCACTGGTAACATTTTCCCAGCCTGAAGTACCACTACCCTTTGGGTTCTACTGCTCAGCCAGTTATGCATCCATTGCAAGTTACGTCCACTGATTCCAGCTTTCTTTATTTTCAGCACCAGCCTTTCATGAGGAACTATATCGAAGGCCTGACGGAATTCCAGAAATACAACATCCACTGCCTTACCCTTATCAAGCTCCTTTGTCAAATAGGCAAAGAAAACCAGTAAATTAGTTTGTCAGGAGCTCCCTTTCATGAACCCATATTGGCTATCTTTTATTATTTTATTACTTTTTAATTTTTTTTAACATTTTATTACGTTCACAAACACTAGCTCCAACCCCACCTTTGTGCGGGTCCTGGTCAGATTTGAATACACGGCACTCAAACCTTTATCCCATCTGTCCATTCTTCCCTATTTACCTCTTACAACTCCTCTTGCTCACCTTGAGACCCCGGAGGATTTGGTACAGGAAGAAAACCATCACGTTCTCAGTCAGTTTCTCTTTCTTCATGATGTGTTTGAGATCCCGAGCGACGAAGGGCATCACCATGTAACTGTGAAGAGAGAAAGAGGGGTTTGAGTCTTCATTCAGCAATTTGTCTTTGGGTCAGAAGGTTGTGGGTTCGAACCCCACCTCAGAACTTTGAGCTCACATCCAAGCTGTTTGATGCTGTTTAAGGAGGTGCTGCACTGTCTTGACGTGCCATCCTTCAGACCAGACGTCTGTCCGACCGTCCGTCCGTCGATCGGTCGGTCTGTCTGTCTGTTCAGGTGGACATTAAGATCTCGCAACACAATTCACCGAGGGACATCGAATCATATTATAATGTAGAAGGAGGCCATTGGTCCATTGAATCTACACTGGCTTAATCAATCCCACTGCACTGTTCTATACACCTTCATGCCCTTATCCTTTATATACTTGCCCACATACCTCTTGAAATCCACAATGAATTCTGTCTCTACCACCTCTGCTTGGCAGGAAGTTTCACATCCCAACAACTCTCTGTGTGAAAGAATTTCTCCCAAGCTCTCTTGTGACTATCTCATATCTGTGTCCACTAGTCACTAACTCACATGGAAATACTTCTCCCTGCTCACCCTGTCGAAACCCCTCATCATTGTATCCACCTCTATTAGGTCCCCTCTCAATGGTAATATCTTCTGAAAACGTGGCAGCACACAACATTCCACAAATAGCCATGAAGCACTTTGCAAACACTAGCCTGGCTACCCTGCGTGAAGGTGCTATATAAATGCAAGTTGTTGTTGTTGAAGTAAATGATCAATATTATTTGGGGGATTGTTGGCCAGGACACCAGGAGAAAAGAAACTCCCTTCTCTTTGCCAAAAGTGCCGTGGGATGTTTTACGTCCACCTGAACAGGCAGATGGGACTCGGTTTAATATCTCATCAAAAAAAACAATAATAAATTGGTCATTTTCAATCCACCACTTTTTGTGGGACACCGCTGTGTGCAATTGGCTGCCGCATTTCGCCCCACAAATATACAGTTAATTCGCTTTACTGTATATTCTGTGAAGCACTTTGAGACATCGAGAAGACGTGAAAAGCGCTATATCAAATGTAAGGATTATTATTATTATCAGAAAGACAGCACCTCCAGCAATACAACACACACCAAGCACTGCACTGGGGTGTCAGTCAAGGCTGTGAGCTAAAAGTCCCCACATGGGACTTGAACCCACAGTTTTCTGACTCAGAGACGAGAGTGTTACCAGACTGACACCCAAACTGTAGAAGGGAAAGAGAGTCAGATTCCTTCAGTAGAGGAGACAGGGAGGAGATTTTATATGAAAATATTTCTGGACTTATTTCAGGCATGTTCAGGCCTGTGGTGCACATATCCGCCCAGGAATTTCAGTGTGACCTCTGTTCTGCCACTGTCCCAGCCTTTACCCAAATACTCACATTCCCACAAATATTCAAATCAGGTTATTTAAATATCCCATTTTCCTGGCCAACAAATTGCCACATAAAACTGATTGATCACTTCAGCACTGATGGTGAGACATTGCTGTGTGCAAATTGGCTGCCATGTTTGCCTATGAAAACACATAGTTACTACACTTTGCAGTAAATCCTGTGAAACGCTTTGAGACGTCCCCCATCAAATGCAAGGATTAATATTATTATTATCTGTTTCTCACACTCACACAGCTCATACTCACTCTGCTCACACTCACGTGGCTCACCCTCACCCCGTTCACTCTTTCCCCGCTCACTACCCCTCCCTCCCGCAATCTCTCAGTCTCACTCAGAGCAAGTTCGGACAGAGTCTCGGAGGTGAGTAGGATTGACAGGGAGCCTCTACCAACTCACCCAGCCCCCAGCTCCTGTGAAACCTGCACATTCCTGTTAGAAATGGCGATCACATAGCTCACAGCCTGGGGCAATGAGTACCTCAGCCCCACATTCCAGGCCCCCCTTGCTCTCTCACGCATTCTGATTTTGTTTATAGGTGTGTGTGTGTGTCCATGTTTCAATGTGTGTGTATATATATATAATTCACACACACACACACACATATTTATATAGTTGTTTGTACGGATGGAAATGTTCCCGTGTCAGGAATCCTGCTTCCTGCTTACCCAATTCCAGAGAGTACTGGCACAGGCTTGAGGACCCCTGAGTCTGCGTTGGGGTACTGCTAGAGTCTAACCACCTACAACCACACAGCTTGACATTGATATCACTGTCTGCCAAGCTTTCCTTCTGCTCATCCAGCTAGGACCACCTACTCATTAGGGCTTTGACTTGCAGGGTTAACAGGAGCTGAGTAGGGAGAGTCCCTGCCCCCAGTGACTAGTCTAACCTTCTAAATCCTGCTGATGAGTCAGGCTGGCTATGCTGATACCAGCAGTGTCCTGACCCACCTGGCTCAGGAACTGGACTAGCGATCACCACAGAGCGTGGACTCAATTCCAACATTTAACTACAACAACATGTACAGTACTTATAACAACATTTATGTATAGCGATTCATGTAGGATAATCTCACATACCCCAAGGAAGATAGTTAAATTAATCAATTTTCATAGCCTCAATAACCCTTCCTGGTTACCTGTTCCTGTTAGTAATTAATCTTTCTAGAGAAATCTTCCTGATGTTTGTCTGAAATTGCCCTTCAGACTCTCTGTGCTCTCTTATCCCGGAGACTAGGTGTATCTGGTGTATTGTTCTGGGTTTATTCTCTCAATCTCTGGCAATAGAGGAAATTGTGTTCTATCTGCAGAATATGTGTTAGGTCAGGATATTAAGGGACATGGGGCAAGGGCAGGTAATTGAACTTGAGGTACAGATCAGCCATGATCTTATAGAATGGTGGAACAGGCTCGAGGGGCTAAATGGCCTCCTCCTGTTTCTATGTTTCTAATAGAACCCAGCATCCTGTTTGCCTGGTTTACTGCGGCCTCACACTGTTTTGACACAGTGGGTGGGTGGATAGGTATGTATGTTCACACGTGCAAGTCTGTGGTTGTGTGTGTATAGGGCTGTGTGGGTATGTACATTGAAACATGCACACACATGCACACACCAATAAACAAAATCATAGTGTGTGAGGGAGCAAGGCGGTCCTGAAGCGAGGGGGCTGTGTGTACAGGTGTGCGTGTCGGGGCTGTGTGTGTGGATTGCGTGTGCGGGTCTGTGTGTGTGTGTTTGTGCATGTCTGGGGCTGTGTGAGTTTGTGTGTGCGTGGGGCTGTGTGGTGTGTGTGTGTGTTTGTTTATGCGTGGCAGGGTTGTGTAATCTTGGAGCACGGCCCATGTTCCGCGTGTACTCACAAGCTCTGGAACGCCTTCAAAGAGTCATCTGGCGTGAAGACATTCAGCAAACTGATGACCTGTGGGGGAGGGAAGATAATAATAATACTTGCATTTGATGTAGCGCTTTATCGTGTCGTTGAGACGTCTCAAAGCGCTTCACAGGATATACTGTAAAGTGAGTTCAAGTGTTCTGGGACACTACCTTGTGTGAGGTGCGTTATGTAAATGCAAGTTGTTGTTATTATTGTTGGATTAATTGTGTATTTTGTACGTGAACTGTGGCAGCCAATTGCACACAACAGTGTCCCACAAACAGTCGTAGATTGAAAGACTGGACTTTTTTTGAGGGATTATTTCCCCCAGAAAGTGATCCGCCAAATGACTAACAACTGGGTTCCTACTTACTGCTTGGTAAACAGAGGCGTGTGGAGTAAGGAATCTTGCCTAAGGTTTTGCCCATATCAGGAATCGAACCCGGGTTCTCTCGCTTGCCAGGCGAGCAGCTAACCAAAACGCAATAGGCTCCAGATGGTGAGACCAAAAGAGAAACCCACCTCTGTGCTGTGCTGGGCTGTGATGGGCTGGATTGTGCTGGGCTGTACTAGGTTGTGTTGTGCAGGGCTGTGTTGTGCTGGGCTGTGCTATGCAGGGCTGTGCTGTGCAGGGCTGTGCTGTGCTGGGCGGTACTGTGTTGAGGTGCGCTGTGTTGGGCTGTGCTATGCAGGCCTGGGCTGCGCTGTGTTGGGCTGTGCTGCTCTGGTGTGCGCTGTGTTGGGCTGCGCTACATTGGGCTGCGCTGTGATGGGGACGTGGCTCACGTTCTCCTGTGTGATGTGCTTGAGGAGCCGGAGCTCCCGGTACGCCCGCTTGGCGTGGAGCAGCGACTGGAATGGTCGGTGCAGCTTCTTCACAGCCACCTTCTCCCCCGTCTTCCTGTCCACGGCCGAACTGTAGGGAGTGAGAGCGAGAGGGTCAGGGGGGAGGGGTAGGGAGCGGTGGAGAGGGGCAAGGAGGGGAGGGGCCTAGTGGGGCGAGAAGGGGTGTGGAGGGGCAAAGAGGAACGGGGATGGATAGGGAGGGGCAGGGAGGGGATCTCTAATGTCTACTGAATTAAATGATAAAGGTAATTATTATACAATTAATTTGAATTGACAAGTTGGCTTCAGTTTAAAACAGAAGTGACAAATATGTTACAACAGGCCATATCTAGACCCATTGATGCCAAAACTGGGATCAAAAATCTGTGTTCGAAGTTTCACACATATTAATTCTTAATAATGATCCTTACAAATCCATAATAATCCTTAATAATTAATGCTTATCATAATCCTTATATTAATAATATTCCTTATTGATAATAACAATCTTCACATTTGATAGACAATAGAAAAATTACATTTGTATAGCATCTTTCAAGTCAGGAGGACCTTTCCAAGTGTTTCACAGGTTTACCATAAAGTTTGCATATTATGTAGGTGAACGTGGCAGCTAATTTGCACACAGCAATGACCCACAAACAGCCATGAAGTGAATGATCAGTTTTATCTGGGGGATTGTGGCCAGGACACCGGGAGAAAATCTCTTTTTGAATTGTTGCTATGAAATCTTTAATGTCCACCTGAACAGGCAGATGGGATCTCAGTTGAACGTTTCAACAGAAGGACGGCCGTGAGGAGTCTTGTAGTGAAATGGTTAGCACACTCGCCTCGCAAGCCAGAGAACATGGGTTTGATTCCCAGCAGGGCGAAACCTTAGGCAAATTTCCTTCCTCTGCACACCTCTGGTTACCTAGCAGCGAGTAAGAACCCAGTTGTTAGTCGATTGGCGGATTGCTTTCTGGAGGTAATAATCCCTCAAAAAAGATAATAATGACTGTTTGTGGGACACTGCTGTGTTCAATTGGCTGCCGTGTTGCTCCCACTAAATACACACTCAATTCACTTTACAGTATATCCTGTGAAGCGCTTTGAAGATTATTATTATTTATGTATTATTCCAACAATCTATCTCTGGAATTTCCATGTGTATGGAATTCTCAGTTTGGTTTGGATATTCTTAAGCATAGGGATGAGTTGCTGCATGTGTCAGATACCCAGCTGACAAAGGATATCCCACCAAACATTCACATCTCGTCTCGTTAAGTCTGCGTTAATCAATGTTGTGTTTCCAGTAGCTATTGAGTAGCAATATTTATACTGTTGCCATAAATTGAAAAATATTCAATCAACAACAATATATTTGGTTGACCGACCAAAAGATTGTCCACTGGTGTTTATGCAGTGATGGTTTGGTGTTGCCCAGTGTGTGACCACTCTCCCATCTCCCATTTCCCATCCAGATCCTCTAGTGCTGACTGTCCGGTTTACCTCGTGTTTACATGAATTGAATTTCCTTCCCAGTGTTTCCGACTTTATAATAATAATAATCATTGCATTTGATATAGCACCTTATCATATCATCAAAGCGCTTCACAGGATATACGCCCCGATCCAAAGCTCTTGGAGATGTTTCAAAGACGTGATAAGGTGCTATATCAAATGCAAGGGTGATTATTACTATTATTATTATTATTAAGTATATATGTGTGTGCATGTGGCTCAGTCTCACACACATATAAAACAACAATAACTTGCATATGGGAGCACTCAATATATGCTTAATATATATTAATATATTAATTTAATTTATATTAATATATTAAGAACATAAGAACATAAGAATTAGGAGTAGGCCATTCGGCCCTTCGTGCCTGCTCCGCCATTCAATAAGATCATGGCTGATGTTCTCACCTAACTCTGACATTTCAACATAATAATAATAATAATCCTTGCATTTGATATAGCGCTTTTCACGTCTTCCAGACGTCCCAAAGCGCTTCACAGAATATACTGTAAAGTGAATTGACTGTATATTTGTGGGCGAACGCGGCAGCCAATTGCACACAGCAATGTCCCACAAACAGTCATGGATTGAAAATGACCAATTTATTATTGTTTTGTTTTTTGGAGGGATTATTATTAGGCGTGTGGAGTAAAGAAACTTGCCCTGCCTGGAGTTGAACTCAGGTCTCTCACTTGCAAAGCAAGTGCTCTTGTGGAGTCCTGTAGCTCAGTGGTTAGAGCACTCGCTTTGCAAGTGAGAGACCTGGGTTCAATTCCAGGCAGAGGGCGAAACCTTGGGCAAGTTTCCTTACTCCACACAGAGCCTAATAATAATCCCTCCAAAACCAAAAACAATAATAAATTGGTCATTTTCAATCTACGACTGTTTGTGGGACATTGCTGTGCGCAATTGGCTGCCGCGTTCGCCCACAAATATACAGTCAATTCACTTTACAGTGTGTTCTGTGAAGCGCTTTGGGACGTCCTCCCGACGTGAAAAGCACTATATCAAATGCAAGGATTATTATTATTATTATTACCTGCCATATCCCCATATCCCCTAATCCCTCTATTTTTTAAGAATCTATCAGTCTCAGCCTTGAAAATGTTCAAGGACTGAGCATCTACAGCCTTCTGGGGTAGTGAATTCCATAAGTTCACTGCCCTCTGAGTGAAGAAATGTTTCCTCAACTCTGTTCTAAGAGGCTGACCCTTAATTTTAAGACTGTGACCCTGGTTATAGATTCTCCTACTGGGGAAACAGTCCCTCTGTGTCTACTTTATCAGCCCTTTAAGAATCTTGTAAGTTTCAATAAGATCCCCCCAATTCTTCTGTACTCTAGAGAATATAGCCCTAGTTTATTCAGCCTATCCTCATAGGTCAGTCCCCTCATCCCAGGAACTAACCGAGTGAATCTACGCTGCACCCCCTCTAGGGCAAGTATCCCCTTTTTTAAATAAGGAGATCAAAACTGCACACAATACTTCAGGTGCGGTCTCACCAAAGCCCTATACAGTTGCAGGAAGACTTCCCTACTCTTATATTCTAAACCTTTCGAAATGAACGCTAGCATGCCGTTCGCCTTCTTAGTTGCTGCTGCACCTGCAAACTAACTTTTTGGGACTGGTGTACAAGCACACCATATTAATATAACAGGCTCTGGCTCCACATCCCCTGACCCACCCGCCCCACCATTGGCGGGAGAGCCTTCAGCCACTCTGCCCCCAACCTCTGGAATTCCATCCCCCAGTCACTCCGCCTCGCCCCCTCCTTAGCCTCCTTCAGGTCCCGCCTCAAGACTCTCCTCTTCAACCATGCCATCGGCCACCCCCCTTCCCCTCCCCTCTCTTCTCCCCCCCTGACCCCAGCTCAGCTCTGAAATGCCATACTCTGTCCAGCGCTTTGGGACATCCGCCCGATGTGAAAGGTGCTATACAAATGTAATCTTGTTGTTGTTAATATATACTATATAATATATGCTTAATAATGATAGGCTTTCCCCTCAGTTATCTCCACATTTGCCCCCGCCTGGCTGGGCTGTGGCTCTCTGTGCAGAGGGAGGCTGGGACACTAGTTTTGCTGATTTTCACACGGCAGTTTCTTTCCCAGGATGGTGCACCAAGAGGCAAGTCCCAACTCTTATCGCTTTATAAAGTCATTTTACGTTTACTCCCTCCCACATACACACACTTTGTTTCTTCTTGTGTTTTTTGCATTCCTGGATCAGAATACACCATATCACTTACTCACTGATTTGATCGCATTAAAATTCTGCAAGAATTTGACTGCCTGAACAATAAGCCCTCTGACTCTCTCCAGCCTGCACTCTGCTCTGCTGTTGTGTTGTGCTGTGTTGGCTGCCTTGTTCTCTCTCTCTCTCTGTCCCTCTCACTCACTCACTCACTCACCACACGCTCCCGTATGCCCCCGATCCGATGGGAGTCAGGTTGGTGTATCTCTCCAGCACTTCCCAAGTCGTTGTGTTGATGTCTTGCTTGTAAAATCCTTTCCTCCCTGGAGTCCCCATGTCCCCACTTTGCTCTCTCTCTGGTTTACCTGGCGACTGTGATTTACAGCCTCAGGTAAATATCACCTGGTCCATTTCACAGGCTCAGCCCCGCCCCCGCCAGCCTCCAGGGGGAGAGAGTTTGCTCAGAGCCTGAGCCATAAATACGCAAATCATCAGGACAGCAAGCAGCTCCGCCACCGAGAGGCCACTACATGGTATTTACCAAGAAGAGATTGTCAATGCTCAGTTATTCCGGGGAGATGGGATTAATAAAATAAAATATCTATATTTTGGTCAGCTGGTTGGCTGAGACATGCGGAAACCCATCACTGTGCTTAAAAGTATCCAAACCAAACTAAGATTCCATGCTTCCCACCTAAACATAGAAATTCCAGAAATTGGTTAATAATACTAATACTAGATAATATGAATAATATTAAAATTAGTACTTTTTAATATTGGGTAAGCAGGATGCATCCTTCCGGGGAGAGAGTGTGCATTCCATTCTAAAGATCTATCTCTGGAATTTCTATATATAGATGAGATACATTGAATTCTCAGTTTGGTTTGGATACTTGCCTCACAAGCGAGAGAACCTGGGTTCGATCGCTGGGGGGAGGGCAAAACTTTAAGACAAGTTTCCTTACTCCACATGCCTCTATTTACCTAGCAGTAAGTAGGAACCCGTTGTTAGTCGATTGAGTCCTGTAGTTCAGTGGTTAGAGCACTCGCCTTGCAAGTGAGATACTTGGGTTTAATTCCAGGCAGGGCAAAACCTTGGGAAAGTTTCCTTACTCCACACACCTGATAATAATCCCTCCAAAAAAAAATTGGTCATTTTCAATCAACGACTGTTTGTGGGACACCTCTGTGCGCAATTGGCTGCTGCGTTTTGCCCACAAATATACAGTCAACACTTTACAGCATATTCTGTGAAATTCTATATCAAATGCAAGGATTATTATTTATTATTATTATTGGCAGATCCCTTTCCGGGGGTAATACTCAATCCACTACTGTTTGTGGGACATTTCTGTCACGTTTCACCCACAAAATATAGTCACACCGTTTTACAGTATATCCTGTGAACCTCTTTGAGACGTCTAAATGATTTGATGAGGCATTATATCAAATGCAAGGATTATTATTACTAGCATGGTGACGGATTTGTGACAGACACCTGGCTGATCAAAAATAAATAAATACATACATATATACACACACACCACACACACACACACACACCACACAGACACACATAAATAAATAAAATAAAATTGAACTCAGTAATCCCATCCCGAAATGGTTTCATGTTGAGCTATGCCGTGCAGAATTTATCCCTATGTCTGCCTTCTTTGAAATCTGGAAACTCTGGAACACTCTTCCTCTGTCCCTCCACTTTCCCCCTTCCTTCCCCATCTTCAGGTCACGCCTGAAGACCTTCCTGTTCAATAGTGCCTACGATCACCTCCTCCTCCCCCCGGCTTGGCATCGTGCTCTGCCACTGCCAAGCGCTCTGGGACGCTTCCTTGCATGAGGGGCACTATATAAATGCAAGTTGTTGCTGTTGTTGTCTTGATGGGCAAGAGGTGCAGTGGTCAAGTGAGGGAAGTGGTTGTGATTCCTTTTCTCTCCAGTAGGTGTCAGTGAGATGCCGAGGAGCTTGTCTGTGAGTTCAAAGAAAGTGGAAGAGGAGGAAATAGTAAGAGAGTCTGAGAGATGGAGACAGGAGACTGAGGAGCAAGAATAAATAGGGAACAAATGGAAAATTGATGCAGTCAATAATCAGAAAGGAAATAGATCACCTTATAAGAATACATGACAGTTCAACACAAATTCAGATCTTGTCTGTCCCACCTCAGAGGCATGTTTGAGGAGGTGGCGTCCTCGTGTTAAACTCCACAGATTAGGACAACAAATCTAGATGAACAAAAGGCATTTGACAACGTTCCAAGTGAGAGACTCCTTTGGAGGTCACTGGTATTAAGGGCATCATATGGACGAGGATTCAGAGTTGGCTGAAGGCAAGGAAGCAGAGAGTTTTTGTTAGAGGAACAAGGTCACAATGGGAAGAGGTATTAAGCGGGGGGGTGGCACATTGCATCTGTTGTGGATACCTCCAGTTCCTTGTATTTTTTATGGCCTGGATTCACAGACCCAGTTTACATCCAGTGGTCACATTTGCAGATCAGACCAAGCTGTGGGGGAGACCAACTGTGGTATCAGAGATGGCAGCAAAGAGAGCTTGACAATTTCAGGGGTCATACCAGGCAGTATTTCTTTACAAAGATGATAATTAATAGCTGGAACAAGCTGCCAGTAGGTCCACGGTCCTGGCCTCTTTTAAAAACAGCTTGATGTGTGTTTTTCTGAAAGGATGAGATGAAATGGACCAAAGGATCTTCTTCATCCAAGTCTCTCTTGTAATCTTGTGGAAGCACAGACTGAGAGACAGGATCTCTGAGACAGATAGTCTGAGAGATACATGCAGACACAGAGTCTCTGAAATATAGACAGACTGGCAGGCAGACAGAGATTCATGGACAGACTCAAGCACAGACAGAGGCACAGGTGAAATGAGAAAAACAAAGACAGGGACAGACAGAGACGCACAGAAGGACTGGGAGACACAGGCAGAGGCATAATCACTAGCTTTGCACCTGCACTGCCCTGATGCATTTCCATTCAGTGACAGCTGCTGTTGCTCTGTTATCTGTTTGTAAGTTGATAACCTGGCCTCCCAGCAACAACTGTGCCACCGAAGGGACTACCCCAGCTTCTCCTGTCAGCTTCTTACTCTCTGCTCCCCTGTGTCTTCTCCAATGTCCGCAAGCTGAGAGATTTTGCTATGAAGTGGATTTTGTCTCCAATTCCCCATTGATGGGTAAAAGAGGTAACTACCTGGTTATTAATCAGCCGTCCCCCGCTGCCTCAAAACAGAATCCTTGCATTTGAAATAACATCAAATAGTGCCAAATCCTCCCAAAGTTATTACTGTACAGTGTAGGCAACCTCCTACACTACTTTGCACTCCTACTCCTACACTAATTTGCATACAATAACCTCCTACAAACATCCAGGATCGAGTTATTTGGAGATTGTTGGCTAGGACACCAGGAAACACACTTTTTTCAATTAATCTCTGAGATTTTTCCAAGTCCACCTGAACAGGCACAGATGGGACCTTGGTTTAACATCTCATCTGAAGGATGGCACCTCCAACAACACAGCACTGCAGCATCCGCCTAGACTGCGAACTCAAAGTCCAGATGTGGGGCTTGAACCTACAACCTTATGCCCCAGAAATGAGAGGGCAACCGACTGAACCAGGCTGATTATTACTCATCTTCTACAGTGCTCACTGTTCCTAGGCCTTTGGGTCAGAAAGTTGAGGGTTTGCGCACAGGGTTGGGACTTTGAGCTTACATTTCAGGCTGAATGCTTGGAGAATGCTGCTTTGTTGGAGGAGCTGTCCTTTGCATAAGACAATAAACTGATGTGCCGTCTGCCTGTTCAGGTGGACATTAAAGATCCCTGTGGCACTTTTCGAAAAGAGAAGGGAGTTCTGGCCAACAATCCCCGAATAAAATCAGTGATTCACTTCATGGCTGTTTGCGTGGCATTGCTGTGCACAATCAGCTACTCTAGTTGACTAAAATGCACAATCAAGATACTTGACAGCAATGATCTGTGAAGCTGGTTCAGGTGTTCTGATGTTATAAGCACTGTATCAAATACAAGTATTATGTTTTTTGTGCTATCCATCTAAATCCTGGGCATGGCTTTGGTGTTGTCCCCTTTAATTGGAATGCAAGCTCCACTCTTAGCTCGTGAATGAATGAGTTAGTGTTTAATCATGAATGTAGCGTGGCGTGAATGACAGACTCAGGGTCCCGGCCATTCACAGAGAGGCAGCTTTGTGCTGCTGGAGATCGCACACACACACACAAACACAGTCCGCAACTCGTTCAGCCCTTTTCTTCACCGCTTCAGAAAACAACCTGATTTTCTCTCACACTGTGGCCAGGCAGCCTGGGAGCAGCCCATTGTGTGCGAGGCGAGGCTATGAGTTCAGGCTGTCAAAGGGGACGTGTTGAAACAGCTGAGTGAATGTGGAACCGCTCAGGAATTCAACAGTAAACTAACAATGTAGAGGACTTGGAGACCTCAGGGAATAATGCGAGGAGTGTTCAGCTAGTGGTGAGGGAGAGCAAATGGCTGCTCTCTCTGATGGGACAGTGCAAGATGGCTTCTCTTTGTGTGTCCATTCCTTTCACCAGTTTATTAAGTATACATTTCTTCTCTTGTCTCAATGCTGGTCTCATCTTGTGTCTCCTCCCCCCCCCCACACGGGCTTGTCCCAACTGGCCTTCATCTACCGTTCCTGAGGTGTCACCCATCCCCCACTCAGAGAGCATCCATGCTGAAGTCTCAGCCAGGTGTCAGCCTGGCTCTGTTGGTGTCGCTCTTGCCTTGGGGTCACTGGGTTGCAAGTTCGAGCCCCACATTGGGACTTGAGCGCTGCATTATCGGGGGTGCCGTCCTCTGGAATGAAACATTACACTGAATTCCTGTTTGTCTGCTTGAAGTGGATGCTGAAGATTCCACAACAAGATTGGAAAAGAGAAGGGAGTTTCTCCCCAATGTTCTGGCCAACACTCCAGAAAACAGCACTCCATGACTGTTTGTGGGACGTTGCTGTGCACAAAATGGCTGCCGCATTTGCCTACAGAAAGTTAAAATAAATGCTTTGAGACATTTTGTTGATAAAAATGCTCTTTGGGGATTTTTCACGCAAAGTTTAGTAGAAATTTGGAATTCTCTCCCAAAAGGCTGTGGATGCTGAATCAATTCAAATGTTTAAGACTGAGGGCATAAAGGGATATGGAGCAAAGGTGGGAGTCACAATACCTGGAGTTAAGGTGCAGATCAGCCATAGAATGGTAGAACAGGCTTGAGGGGCTGAATGGCCCACTCCTGTTCCTATGTTCTGATGTCATCGTCCCAGGAATGTTATCTTCCTACAAGACCTCGGAATGGTGTAGAAATCTCAGCCGTGGCATTGGGGAAAGGTGCTTTACTTGATTTTGTACAATAATAATTCTTACATTTGATACAGCGCCATATCATGTCATCACAATGTCCCAAAGTGCTTCACAGGGAATTACTGTGAAGTGTAGTGACTGGGTAATTTGTAGGCAAATGCAGCAGCTGATTTGTGCACAGCAAAATCCCACAAACAACAATGCGGGTGAATGACACAGAGAAAAACTTCCTTCTCTTTTTGAATAGCACCTTGGGTTCATTGCCGCCCAAATGAGCATGCACAGACAAGTCCTCAGTTTAAAGTCTCATCCAACTTTCTCTTTGTCTCTCTCTCTCTGCATTTTCCTTCCTACCATTACCCAAAAGTATTGAATGCAATAAAGATAATCTGTTTAACATGTTCACTTTGTTCATTCACATCCACGGATTCTTCTGAACAGAATAGGACTGTGCAGAATAGGATTCCTGAGCGATAGCTAACAGCAGCTCCCGAATGCCCAGGAATCACAATCCTTGGAATTTCTGTCACTAAAAGCTATTTGCGGGGAGCGGAGGGACACTCCTTTTGTCCGCCCACTTGAAAGGATCAATGGGGAAAAGGGCTTGTCCAGTCTTAGGCTCTGGTTACAGAACATAAGGCTAGCTGAGGACAAGATAGAGAGGCAAAGCTCTGAACCAGAGCTCAGCATTAAAAGGAGCAAAGGACCCTCTGGGTTAGAAGGTGGTGGGTTCAAGTCTCCTGTTGGGACTTTGAGCACATAATGTTGGCTGACGCATTGGGAGCTTCTATAAATATATTTTAGGATTTTGTAAGGGGCGGCTGAGAGCATAAACACTGAGGAGCTATTTCTGCTGTTAGGGGATTCGAGTACAGGAATGCACGAATTTAAGATGGTAACTCGGACCGTGAAAGGGGAATTTAAGAAGAGGATTTCTCCAGTGGGTTACAGGATTGGAACAGGATTGTCAGGGATGGTGCTTGGAGTTGAGGCTTTTGCCCCCCCCCCCCCCCCGCCTTTTTTTCTTCAGTGTCCAACTCCAATCCTGTGAAGTGATCACAGATATGACGGCCCGGTATAAACCTGACTTCTAACCTCCACCCCTCACTCCGCTCTGTGCCCTGCTCTATCGCCTTACACATACCCCTTGTTCCCCCTGCTTCGTGTCCAACCCCCACCCCCCCACACACACACTGTAGTAAGGTGACCATATTTCGTAAACCAAATCCTGGGACATGTATATAAAGAAAAACTGAACTCACCACAATTCCAGTAACTGGAAAAGCTGGTTGGCTTAATAATAATAATAATCCTTACATTTGATATAGCATGTCTTTGAGACGTCTCAAAGCGGTTCACAGGATACACTGTAAAGTGAGCGAAACATGGCAGCCAATTGCACAGCAGTGTCCCATAATTATTATTTTTTTTGGAGGCATCATTACCCCCGGAAAGCGATCGCCAATCAACTAACAACCAGGTTTCTGCTCGATAAACAGGGGCTTATGGAGTAAGGAAACTTGCCCAACATTTTGCCCTGCCCGGGAATCGAACACGAAACACAGGTCCTCTCACTTGCAAAGCTGTGTTTCTGTCATTGATGAATGTATCTGTTTTAGAATTTTATTGTTAGTGCTCCATTTGTGGCTGAACTATAGACAGGAGCACATTTGGCCACAGGGACACAATATCTCATCCAGAGACTGTGCACTCTACCCCAATTTAAGGAAGAAATTCTTCCTTAACTTTGAAGTGGCTGTGAAGTTTCTGTGGTCCCTAAAAGAAAGTGAAATGAAAAAAAAACTTTTTTTTTTTTTTTTTAAAAATTCCCAAAATTCTGTTGCAGAATAAATAGAGAGAATCGAACTTCCCAGAGTGGGGAATGTGCCCCAATGGTGGGTCACACCGACCGACTGTGTCAAGTCATTTCAGTGATGAGGGTCCCCATAACCTGGGACCACAAGAGCCCTTGATGGGATGATCATTGCCCTTTTAAGATGAGTTACAGCCCTGGTGAGGGCAGTGGGGGGGTGAGGGGGGGGTGAGGGGAGGGGGGTGTGTGTGTGTGGGGGGGGTGTGGGGGGGGTGAGGGGGTGATGTCATGGGCAGGTCCAGCCTTCCCAGCCCTGTGTGTGCAGTGCTGAGTGAGTTGAGTGCATGTGATCTCCCAGTGTGCAGATTGCAATGTAAAACGGCCTCATTAAGTGGCTGTGAGCTGTGGGGGGAGTGGGGGGTAAAGGCAGCGATAGAGGCTCCGCATCCGAGCGGTTTGCACGAGCTTTTCTTCCCGCAGAAGCCCTGCGGGTCCCGGGGCGGAGCGGAGCGGAGCGGCGGCACAGAGAGCGCAGGAAAGTTGGAGTTGTGCAGTGAGGAGCGCAGCGCAGAGAGTGCCGGAGAGTTGGCCGCGGGGTCGGGGTCGGGGACCGTGGGAAAGGGCAGCAGTGTCTCAGCAGCTGAACAGCACAAAGTTTCTTAAGGTAAGAAACCTCACCATCGCCTCAGCGCTGAGCAAAGCGCAGGAGCTGTGAGTCTGTGACCCCTCTCCCCCTCTCCCCCTCCCGGGACTCTCTCTCTCTCCCCCTCCCGGGACTCTCTCTCTCTCCCCCTCCCGGGACTCTCTCTCTCTCTCCCCCTCTCCCCCTGACTCTCTCTCTCTCTCCCCCTCTCCCCCTGACTCTCTCTCTCTCTCCCCCTCTCCCCCTCCCGGGACTCTCTCTCTCTCTCCCCCTCTCCCCCTCCCGGGACTCTCTCTCTCTCTCCCTCTCTCCCCCTTTCGCTGTGATCTGCTGCAGATTTAGAGGTATCTACAAGTTCCCTTTGTTCTTGTTGGGGAGTGAATGGCTAAGGAATGGCTGACTGGGGGGGCAGTGGCTCAGTGGGGGGGGGGGCAGTGGCTCAGTGGGGGGGGCAGTGGCTCAGTGGGGGGGGGGCAGTGGCTCAGTGGGGGGGGGCAGTGGCTCAGTGGGGGGGGCAGTGGCTCAGTGGGGGGGGCAGTGGCTCAGTGGGGGGGGCAGTGGCTCAGTGGGGGGGGCAGTGGCTCAGTGGGGGGGGCAGTGGCTCAGTGGGGGGGGGCAGTGGCTCAGTGGGGGGGGGGCAGTGGCTCAGTGGGGGGGGGGGCAGTGGCTCAGTGGGGGGGGGGCAGTGGCTCAGTGGGGGGGGGGCAGTGGCTCAGTGGGGGGGGCAGTGGCTCAGTGGGGGGGGGGGGCAGTGGCTCAGTGGGGGGGGGGCAGTGGCTCAGTGGGTAAAGGCTGACTGGCTGGGGGGGGCAGTGGCTCAGTGGGGGGGGGCAGTGGCTCAGTGGGGAGGGCAGTGGCTCAGTGGGGAGGGCAGTGGCTCAGTGGGCAAAGGCTGACTGGCTGGGGGGCAGTGGCTCAGTGGGGGGCAAAGGCTGAATGGCTGGGGGGGGCAGCGGCTTAGTGTGGGGGGGCAACGGCTAGCTGACTGGCTGAGGGGGGGGCAACGGCTGGCTGGCTGAGGGGGGGGCAACGGCTGGCTGGCTGGCTGGGGGTGCGGGCAATGGCTGGCTGGGGGGGGCGGGCAATGGCTGGCTGGGGGGGGCGGGCAATGGCTGGCTGGGGGGTGCAATGGCTGGCTGGGGGGGATTGATGGCATTTTTTTTCTCCCCTGGGGAAGATTTCCCGGGTGCCCTCCAGGTGATTGTTCCTGGTGTGCGAGTGAGTGAGTGAGTGTGGGGGGGAGCATGTCGTTGGTTTTGACTGGGGTAGGAGGGGACATGTTGGGCTGGTGGGGGCACGACAAGAGTCCTCTTGTTTGGTCCAGCCCCTCAACATCTTTTCGCAGAGAATTGTGGTAGAGTGTAGTGACTGTTTTGTGGGAGAATGTAGCAGCCAATTTGCGCACAGCAACATCTCACAAACCTCTATCAAGTGAGCAATGTTGTCTGGATGATTGTTGGCTTGGGACACTGGGAGAGAGAAACGTCCTTCTCTTTTTGAATAGTGCTGCTGGACACCTTGTGGCTATCTGAAGGTAATTGGTTTGTTAGGAATGTGGTGCTGAGTTTACCCAACTCCCTCATACTCCCTCATACTCCTGTCCTTGGAGCCAGAGCAGTCCATTGCTTCGATGGAATGTTAATAGCTGAATTATCGCATGTTTCTATTCCCCCCCACCCCAGTACACTCCCCCTCCCTCCGTTCCCCCTCCCCATGAAACACCAGGCTGAATCCTCTGCCCACTCCTTGCTGAGTTATTGCTCTGAGCTGGGGCTACAGGTGACGTTGATGACCCCTGGGTTAGGGAAATTCCTGATTCCTGACTGCTCCCTCCTGGGTGGGTGGGTGGAGGGGTAACCTTGGGTGATGACAGGTTTGGCTTCTATTATGATGCCTTTCTGATTCCCATGCCCCCCACCCCATTTGATTCCAGCTGCTGCTTTGTACAGGAAGGCTGCGTGCAGACCTGGACCCCCTGTGAGGAAGCACCTCAGCACAGAGACAGCAAGGACTTCATGTGTCTCTGAGGTTTCTGTGTGTCAGCCCGGCTCAGTGTAGCCTCACTCTAGCCTCCGAGTCAGCAGGTTGTGGGTTCAAGTCCAACTTCGGGACTTCAAAAACGCTTAGCCTTGGCAGAACTTCCAGTGCTGGGGGAGGGGGTTGCATTGTCGGAGGTGCCGTCCTTCAGATGAGATGTAAAAGCAAGGTCCCGTCTGCCTGTTCAGGTAGACATTTAAAGATTCCATGGCATGATTCAAAAATCCCCCAAATAAAATGGGTTACTCACTCCATGGCTGTTTGTGGGACATTGCTGCATTGTGTTGCTGCTTCATTTGCCTACAAATACACAGGCATTCCACTTCACAGTAAATTTTGTGAAGCGATCTGAGATGTCTTGAAGATGTGATAAGGCGCTATAAATTAGCAAGGGTTATTATTATATCAAATGTAAGGATTATTGTTCTCCACTGCACACCACTGCAATGTATACAGCAGAAACCCAGTATACCCACAATCATCTGGGCTTCCAAATGGTGAAACGCTACGAGCACTTTGTGTTGCTGTTAGTGACTGTGGGGTGACTAACATCATGGCTCCCTGTACAGTCAGGCTCCCAGGTGTGCCTGTTGATTATTTGTTCCTAACCTGCACCGCATCCGGGGTCGGCTAGTGAATCTCAGGGTGAAAATAATACTCCTTGCATTTGATGAAGCGCCTTATCATGTCATTGAGACGTCTCAAAGCGCTTCACAGAATATACTGTAAAGTGAAACAAAAACAGCAGGTCAGGCAGCATCTATGGAGAAAGGAAAGTGATTCAATGTTTCGGATCCACAACCCTTTGTCAGAACTGTTGGGGTGGGCAGGGGGTGCGAGTTGGGGCGGGCGGGGAGGGGCGGGCGGGGGCACTGCTGATGACAGCATAACCAGCATGGCTCATCGGCAGGACTTGGAAAGACAGACCAGTCACCAGAGGCAAGGAATCCTCCCACTTAGTTTCTGTTAACCCTGCAAGCCAAAGCCCTAACGGATAGGGTGGTCCGAGCTGGACAAGCAGTGGGAAAGCTTGCCAGTCAGCGATCTGAATGGCAAGCTATGTGGTTTTAGTTGGTTGGACCCCAAAGGTTGGCCCAACTCACACTCTGGAGTCCCAAAATCTTGGCTCTGGCAAACCTGCACCTAATACTTGGGTACTAGGTAAGCAGGATGCATCCCTCCATGGAGAGAGTGCGCATTCCTTCCCAACAATCTATGTCTGGAATTTCCATGTGTAGCTGGGATGTATGGAATTCTCAGTTGGGTTTGGATACTCTTAAGCCTGGTGATGGGTTTTCACTTGTGGCAAACAGCCTGCTGAAGCCCCCCAAAATGGTCTCTTTCCTAGCTAGGCCATTGAGAGTGTAGGTGTTTTGTCCAGATAAGATGATGGGGTGGGTGGGGCTGTCAAAGATCGCAGGCTGGGCCTGAGATCAGTAATGACCTTGGCTGATATGTGGCATTGGCTGGTGAAACTCATTTATGTTACGGAGCAGAATTCTCCTGTCCCTGGTCACCACGGCCCAGAGATTAGACTGAGCTTCTGGAAGGACGGTGTCTAATGGCCTTTAATGCTGATAAATGCAAAGCCAGGACCTCGGCTAAAAATAGTGTGTCCCTCACTGTAACAATCTCCCACACAGCCACACAGGGCAAACCTATAATTAATCCCCCCCTCACCACAGGCTGAGCTGGACCGGAGCACAGCCTTCACATCTCCAGGCCCAAGGCGGCAATCGATCAAACCATCCCGAACCTCACCTAATCCTTCAGTCCATTTCATTATCCCCCAACCCCATCGTTCTCCAGATAATAATAATAGTCGCATTTGATATAGCGCCTAATCATGTTGTTGAGACGTGTCAAAGCGCTTCACAGAATATACTGTTAAGTGAATTCTCTGTATATTTTATGGGCAAAACGCCGTAGCCAATTGCTCACAGCAGTGTCCCACAAACAGTTGTAGATTGAGTGACCGCATTTTATTTTTATTATTTTTTTGGAGGGATTATTACCTCTGGAAAGCAATCTACTAACAACCACATTCCTACTTGCTAAATTTAGAACATTTGGAAGAAAACTAAAGGGAAAGACTTGAAGTCTAGTATTTTCTGAAATACTACGAGTACCACGTGCTAGTGAGGAAAGACAGAGGGTAGTTAGGCAGAACAATGCGTGTCTAAGGCATTGGTGTGGGGAGTCAGGCTTTTGTTTCCTCAAACAATGGAACACCTTTTGGAAGAGGGGGCATCTATACAGACCGGATGGGCTCTATCTAAACACAAGTGGGGTGGAGGTATTGGCAGGCAGGATCAATAGTTTAGTGAGGGAGTGTTTAAACCAGAGACAGGGGTGGTTGCGGTAGGTGTAAGAGAGCACCCGAATTGTTTAGGAAAAGCTTTATGGTGTACCAGTGTAAGGGGTCTAACTCCAAAGGTTGGTGAAAAAGAAACTAAAAATGCTTATAAAGTAAATGGGAAACTATGGAGCTTAACTTGCATTAATACAAATCTGACAAACAAGATGCGTGATCTGGAAGGCCTTGTGGGGTTGATAGCTTGGACATCATTAGCATCACAGAGACATGGTGGAATGAATCCAATCAATGGGATACGCATCTGGAAGGTTATAAACTGTTTAGGAGGGATCGTATCAGGAGAAAAGGAGGTGGTGTGGCACTATACATAAACTCCATTATTGAGACACAAGTGAGAGAGGATATAAAAAAAGGAAAGGACAGTAACAGAATCACTTTGGGTAGAATTAAAAGATGGTAACAGATGTAAGCTGTTACTGGGGGTCTGCTGTAAACTCCAAACCAGGGTGAAAGCCTCAATCTGGAACTGTGGGATGAGATCAGGAAGGCCGCTAGTAAGGGACCAACCATAGTGGTGGGAGATTTTAACTTACCTGAAATTTATTGGGATAATAATGAGTCTACCTCTCTGACCTCCTCTCTCCTCAGCACAGTACCCGTTGCCTTC